AGACGGTCCGGATACTTCAATTGGTTCAGAATAGAGCTGCCAGGCTGCTGATGGGGACTGGGCGTTATGTTCACATGACTCCAGTTCTCCGTCAGCTTCACTGGCTTCCCATTGAAGTCTGGGCCCAATTCAAGGTGTTGGTGATGACCTATAAAGCCCTTAACGGCTTGGGTTCTGGTTACCTGAAGGAGCGCTTACATCCATATATGCCCTCCCGCCCCTTGAGATCAGCGGGAGAGGCCCTTCTCCGGGAACCCTCCGTGAAAGAAATCAGGAGGGTTGGTACTCGGAGGAGGGCTTTCTCTGCGGTGGCGCCTAATCTATGGAATGTGCTCCCCAGAGAGGTCTGCCTGGCGCCGTCGTTATTTGTGTTTCGGCACTAGGTGAAGACCTTTTTATTTAAACGTTATTTTAATTGTTAATAGTATTTATTTATTTTATTCTTTGGCCAGGGCAACTTAATTTATACTGTTAAATTATATTGTTTTATATGATGTCATTTACTTATGTTTGTGAGCCGCCCCGAGGCTTCGGCGAATGGGGCGGCATAGAAGTTCCCTAAATAAATAAACAAACAGACAAACAAACAAATAGATAAAATAAAAGCACTGCACTGACTGCCAGAAAACCTCCTGAGCCACATGCAAGGTTCTGTTGTTACTATGTCAGGTTCTAAACAACTTGGGACTAGTTACTGTGGGGATCATGTCAGCCCTTATATTCCTGCCTGGTCCTTGCATCCTCCAGAGGAGGTCTTCTGATGGTGCCACGTGCTCCTAAGGTTCACCTCAGGAGAAGGTGTAACAGAACGTTTAGTACTGCAGCACCTGCCCGCTGAAACCTCCTCTCACTGACTTCAAGCTGATGTCTCCATCTTGATCTTTAGGTGTCTGCTCAAAACTCACTTCCTCATACCAGCATTACCTGAGGAACAACCCAGCCAGTATATATTCTACCGGTGACTCTTTTATTGTACTTTTGGTGTAATATTTCAGTATGTTTGTGATTTGTATAAACTGCCTTGATAGTCCATTGAAAAGTGCAGTATAAATCTCAGTTAAACATACATAGAAATTAAAAACCAGGCTTCCCAGCTAATTAAATTTCGTGTATCAAGATCTCCTTGATCAGAACTGAAGTGGATGATTTTCTATCACAGGCGGAGGTTCCAATCCTTTCCAACACTTGGAAAAGAGTGCAGTGCTGCAAGAAGTAAGTCCTTTGACAATACGAGTCTTTCTTTTGCTGGAAGAAACCCACTTTGATGTACTTCTGAGATTTCATCAATGCCCCTCTCTGCTCCTAGGCTCGGGTATTCAATGAAACACCTATAAACCCTCGGAAATGTGCTCACATCCTCACCAAGATTCTGTATCTCATAAATCAGGTAAAGGGGAGAAGTCATTTAACATTTGCAACGGCTTCATCATAGAGGGTTAAGACAAAATGGGTCTACTTGTCAACATTAATGTGTGTACCTGGCACACTAGCGCTATTGTTGCAGCCGTGTCAACAGCGGGCTGTGAACTATTTGCAAATCCTTCCATTTTGCCCCTCCAGGCGGGCTGTGTGATGACGGAGATGGCAGCTGTCTGCTGTCAAAGAGCCCCACACAGTCTGAGGCGGGTCTGAGCGACCCTTTGCGGAGAGAGAGTCATTTTTGCTGTCCTCTGGTCTCAGTGGAGGTGAATTGCAGTCATGAGCTTCCCTCTGCTGCTCAGTGCAATTGCCAGTACTCACTGGGATACGCTTTCCGCTGCCGTGCTGAATGTGATTGCTTCCGCTTCCTAGTATGTCTGCTTGCAAATATTTGTGTGTTTTTTCCCCATTCCAGGGGGAACACCTTGGTGTGATGGAAGCCACCGAATCCTTCTTTGCAATGACCAAACTGTTCCAGTCCAATGATGTAAGCCCTTTGGTTGTGTGGTCCATCCAGAAGTTTACGCAGGGAAGTGGAAGACTGGTGGGGAACTGGAGCTTTCACGTACAATCCTGTGCAGTGACTAATAGTGCCAGATGGCCACTTTGGCACATGGGGTTGGTAGGCCAGAACACAGAGCCTCCTCTCAGAAGAGCCCGAAGCCAAGACTCACTGTCACATTAGCCGCTCAGCTGTCCCCTTCTTTGGTCTCTTGAAGTGGCTTGTTTTCTGGGCGGCCAATCAGGTGCAGTCTCAGAAGGCTGCTGAAGAGATGCTGAGTGGTCCAGAAGCCTAGGGGCAACCCCAGACATTTTGCTGAAAGAGGTGAAGGACAAAATGGAGTTGTCCACTGCCTCCCCATTTCCATGTGCAGAAGCCAACTAGACTGGCACTTGAATCTTATTTCACCTCCAGCTTCTGTGTGCCTGACGAGAGCAGAGCAATTTGCAGATTAAGGGCCTACTGGTTCACATACAGCTCTGCCCCCCAGAGCCGTGCTGCCTCTCCTCACCTCCCTGGAGGCTGCCGCCTGAGGCAGCTTCCCCACTCTCTCTAATGGCAGGACCAGACCTGCAGTAGCAGATGATGTGATATCCCTGTTTCATCAGCAGCAGGCAACGGGATGTCCTGTCAGAGCTTGCGCATCCTAACACTGCTGTTTGTTGTTCTTCATGTCAGCCCACCCTCCGCAGGATGTGCTACCTGACCATCAAGGAGATGTCGACCATCTCTGAGGATGTCATCATAGTGACTAGCAGGTGGGTCCCTCTTTAGCTTTTCTCTGTGCAGCTGGTTTTGTCAGTTGCACGTAATTCTTGCACTAACACCCACTTAGCTTTGTGAGGTTGGCTGCCATGTCTGTAAGAAATTATTTTTGTTATTTTCCAACAAAACATAAAAAGAAGAGGAAAAAGAAGAGGAAAATATCAGTACATCAGTTTGATTATATCAGTTTCATTTGACACATGTGAAAATGTATATGTGTACACATATACATACATACATACATACATACATACATAAATTCAACTTTCTAAAAACTTTTATACATAAGCTTCGAGAAAAAGAGATCAAGTGTCCACGTATGTAGTGCCCTGTTCAAACACTGAAAGTATTGCATTATAGGAGGGAAGCATTTATCATCCCAGTGTTCAAATAGCAGTCTTTCAGCTGTGAGAAGCTTATGAAATATCCATTTATGTTGATTGTCTGTTAATGTCTGGGGAAGTGGAAATGGTGATGATGGAAGTTGTTTTTGGGGAGAGGAAATATTTTGGGGAGGGAGTTTAGGCCATTGAAATATAGATGCTGTAATCCTGAGTGGCCCAGGCCTGTTCTGTGCAAACAGAGAAGCAGGGGAGATAACAAGATAACACCGCTTCCCTACTCTTCCCCCTTCCCCGCTCCCTCTGCCGTTTTGCAAAGCATGCTTTCACCTCCTGAGGAGATGATAATGTTTTAATCAAATATGAGTGATTACAGTGATGCCAGCCAATATCTGCAGGGCAAACTGAACGGGTTGTGGGGTGTGTGTGTGTGTCTATGCATTGCACAATCAAATACACTTAGAAATCTATTATTTTGTTTCATGTGAAGACATTTAGGGTGCTTCCTTCTTGGGGCTGTTTTCTGATTGAGAAAGCTGGTGGGAGGATACGTACACAACACTATTTTTTTCCCCTGCATTTTATCAGTTTAACTAAGGATATGACTGGGAAGGATGACAACTACAGGGGCCCTGCTGTGCGAGCTCTCTGCCAGATTACAGATGTGAGTATCAGTTGCTTCTGTGCTTCGGAAGCTTTTTGCATCTGCTTCCTTGGAGAAGCCCAGGCTGGTGGAGTCTGTGCCATCAGCTCCTAAAGCTTGAGGAGGACTTCCAGGGCAGCCCCTTCCCAAACTTTCCAGGGGCCATTTGTAATGTTCATTTTATTAATGCTCATAAAAATGTTAACTACCTCAGGCTCCATGGGGAAAAGCCAGTATTGAAAATTATGGAATAAATAGCAACCATTTTCCACATTCTTCCCCTCTTTACATACTTTCTCAGTTTCCTTACTGGGCTCCCCCGTCTTTATTCTTCCATTGGCTTCTACCTTGTTTGAGTCCCCGCTTTGTGCTTTGCCCCTTTCCAGAGATTCTGCCAAAGTTCCTTCTGCTTCCTCTCAGAACAGCTTCTCTGGTTTTGTCTCACCCACCCTGCAGACAACCATGCTGCAAGCCATCGAGCGCTACATGAAGCAGGCCATTGTCGACAAGGTGCCCAGCGTGTCCAGTTCCGCCCTCGTGTCCTCCCTGGTGCGTGGTTGCTCTTTCAGCTTGAGGGCCCCTCTTGATTTTGGAGGTGTTCTCAGGAGCTGCATTCCAGTGGTGGGTGGGGATGAAGGCAAAGAGGACGGGCTGGAAGGCAAAGCGGGGAGGCCAAGCTTATGTCAGCTTAGAGGTCATGCTGTCCGTAATTAAGTCTTAGGAGAGGCATCTCAGCCATTTTAGATGGGGAGAAAATATGTAAGAGCCACCAAATGATCTGCACCTCGGTGGTCCTGGGGAAGGGCTCAAGACCACCTGGTTGCTCCTGGAGGGGCAGAAGTGGTCCACAGACCTGAGGATCCACACCCTGGATCTATAATAAGAGTACACATATGATGTGAGATCATCGAAGGCAGTAGTGACTCCCACTGTTGGTGGGCCATTGCCCCATATTTGGAAGAGGCAGCCGTATTTATTCCTTTGTAGTTTTTATACCTTTGGGCTCGACTGTTTCCAAGGCACTCATTGTTCCCTGCCTGCATGCAAATACTGTTTCAGGTCTGGAATGGCAGCCGTGAGGGGTGATAGGAATGACACTGATGGATCATAGTGCAACTCCCACACCCCAAAAGTGGTTTCAGATCTGCCTGGGCTTTTTTCTTGTCTCAGCTGCAATCAGACTTTCATGATGCCGCCCCCCCCCCCCCCCGGCTCTTTTCCTTCACAGCACCTTCTGAAGACAAGCTTTGACGTGGTAAAGCGCTGGGTGAATGAAGCGCAGGAAGCAGCCTCCAGTGATAACATCATGGTCCAAGTGAGCAGGCCCCATGGCATTTACCATGGTGTTCAGTTTGGGATGCATGGCTCTTGGGTTAGCTATGCTGGCTGGGGGATCCTGGGGGTTGTAGTCCATCTGAAGGGCTCTGGGTTGAAGAAGGCTTGGTTAGTAGTGTAAAAACGGAGGAGTGGAGTTGACCCTGTTTCTTCTTTTGCTAACTCCTTCCAGTATCATGCCCTTGGCTTGCTGTATCATGTGCGCAAGAACGACCGCTTGGCTGTCAACAAAATGCTCAACAAGTTCATGCGCCACGGCTTGAAATCACCTTTTGCTTATTGCATGATGATCCGTGTAGCCAGCAAACTGCTAGATGAAGAAGCTGCAGGGTAAGGATGCCTTTATATCTTGCAGAACGTATTCTGTGTGATCCCATGCCAGAATTTCCCTGGTTTTATTCTTTTGTGGATAAAAGCGGGATTTTGCAAGGGTTGAAAGTTCCTCCAGATCCCTGCAAGTCTTGCCTCATTCATGTCCACTTATTTCTGCTTAAAGCAGAGTTGGGCAGCTTGTAGCTCTCCAGATGTTTTCACCTACAGCTCACATCATCCTTTGCCACGGGCTGTGGTGGCTGATAGGAATTGTGGGCCAAAACTTCTGGGGGGCCACAAGTTGCTAACTTCTAGTTTGCAATCAAAAATTGGCTTTTGTTTTCCTAGAAACAAATTTGGCTATATGAGAACCTCATCTAGGTCAACATCTCCTGCCTCTGCATAGATTGTGTGGGCTGGGTAGATGTGTTTGGGCTTGATAGATGCCTTCAGCTACACAGACTTCACACGTTCTTGGAAACAGAAGTATGAGGAGGGAGTTATTCTAAAAACTCGCAGTGCTGAATCAGCAGCTTATCAGGCTACAAACAGGTTTCAAAGGGTACTAAAGAGAGAGTAGTGCAGGTGTGTCCATTGCAAAGGCAGTGATGGAGACAGTGAAGCTGGGCACGCCATCAGTGAACGATCCATACTCCCTGAAATGTTGTAGGCAGAACTTCCGAATCCTCCCAAACACGGCACTTCTCGGGAGTCTCGGTTTCTTCTTGTGACCAGTAATTAAGTTTTTATCTAAAATGGGGCCCCCACAAATGGATGATCAAATTCATGAGATATAAGGAAAATTCCATACACTTTTGTTGAGAGAGATGGCTGATAAAACTTTGCTTGAGCAAATGTGCAAGTGATTGTAGGTGGGGATCTTTTCATGTAGCCAATCCAATAGCTTTATTTGCTGTGGGTTGTTAGAGCAAAAGTCCCCAAAACCATTTCTTGAGGCTGCCCATATGATGAATTAATCTGATTGGTGTGTTCAGTCTCTGTGTGTGTCTGTATGTGACTTTTCAGGTCTTTTTCTGGTAAAATTTTAAAAAAACTATGGTGATATGGAATAAAATAGACCCACTTAGCTAAAATCAAGGAATTCTGTGCATGCGTGAAGCTGAGTGCTCTTCTTTCTGTGTAGGCATGATAGCCCCCTGTTTGATTTCATCGAGAGCTGCTTAAGGAGCAAGCACGAGATGGTGGTCTATGAAGCTGCATCGGCCATTGTCAACCTGCCCAGCTGCACGGCCAAAGAGCTAGCACCCTCCGTGTCTGGTAATGCCTTTGCTTCTGAACGGTTTTGTTGGGCTTTGCTCGTTGCCCTAAAAATAGCATTTCAATAGTATGGCTATAGGGGACTGGAATTGCTTCAAAGCCAAGTGAGGGCCTTCAGTGGTTGCCCTCTTCCCTTCCCTTGAAATCCCCTGGGCATAATGGTTGGTCTCAGGGAGAGTCTTGGGGAGAGAATTCTAAGGGAGATGGATGGGGGCGTGTGGATTTATGTGTGAGACCCGCTACTTCTGTGGTCCAGAATGAGAAATTGAATGAGTTGGCTGGCAAGAGGAGAGTGGAGAGAGAAAAGGCATTTGCCTTCTTTAAAATGGGTTTCTGTTGGTGCCAATCAGTGTGGGTTTGAAGAGACTTCTTTGCTGTGTTCGAGTGTAAGACTGCCAATATTTGGGGTGTTGCCGCATGTCCTGAGGCACATGGTTTGAAAGGCTGCATTTGGGCTCTGGGGAAGAAGAGCACAAAGAATGTAAAAGAATGCAGCTGCCTAAGGGACACAGTGAAATGGAATGGCCCTTTAAATAGAAGACAAATCCAGAATAAATAATAAAAGTGGGAAGAGATTTAAGTGAGAGGAAGAACAAGGAATCCAAACAAGTTCACAAATAGAGAAAGCCTTATACTGTCCAGCAGGCAGGGAATTGTGGAAATCACACTTCAAACTACCCAGAGCACAGGTGTTTGGAGAAGGTTACAGCAGAAATTAGATCTTCAGACATTTTGGACTTTAACATCCAGCATAGCTGGTCTTGGGTCAAAAAGGCAAAGGCTTCTGGGTGTTGAAGTTCCAAATATCTGAAGATCTGCCCACCCCTGGTATACAGTAAATAAACTAGCGGCCTCCTTTAGATCTTGTTGAATTAGAGAAACTTGTCTTTCCTGCAAAATTCCTGTTCCTCAATTCCTTCCCTTTTAGCCATTCTGCTACTATGACTGCAAATGGTTCCTAATAAGATTGATTTTTTTTCCTACAGTGTTGCAATTGTTCTGCAGTTCACCCAAAGCAGCCCTTCGGTATGCAGCAGTTCGAACCCTCAACAAGGTAAGTGGATCAAAGAGATTTGCTACTAAATGGTCGTAATCAGCCTCCACCCTGAGATTAGTGGAGATGCACTTAGAACAAAGAGGATGACTTGAGCACACCAGTGTTATCGTTCAGTCTCCATGGAGAGATATTTGTTGGCGAGGGGAGAAAGAAATGCTGGCTTGAGAATTCACCTCGAAAAGGTCAGAATGCATCACTCCGTGGCTTTTTGCAATAGGCTTGGATGGGTTTGCTACCTGGATACAACTGGATTAGAGTTGGCAAATACTGGTTTCGATTAGCTTCGTGCTGAAGGAGCACAGAGTGGCCTTTTTTGTCTGATAACCAGCTGCCATGTAGAGTAGCTTAACATCTACAGACTTTCTCATAGCTTCTCAGGGAGCTTTCCCATGCCCAGGCCAGCCCCCAGCCTCTTGTGCAGCTCCATCAGTGGCAATGGCAAAAAATCTGTGGTTCGCCACTGAGACTCATGCTGAAAATGGACAATTTTAGCTTGAGAACAAGCAAATTTTGGCAGCGTGGTGTCAGCAGGAGCATGGATCCAGGTGATGGCAAACAATCCCATCCCCCGCAGTTGCTCACATCTGATCAAGCCAGTGGCCAGCTCTCCCACCAAATGGACCTCAGTTCTTGGAAGAGTGCTGCAGTTTTGAGAGAGCGCCCATTTTCAAATAAGTGGAAATCCAGTATCCAAGGAACAGTGGATACACTGTTTTCCCACTCCCATCTCAGTGCAGCTCTTGTACTCTCTGAAAAATCACTTCTAAGCTCTGGAAGATCCTAGCAGGAAGCAGGAAATGTCAGCGACTGTGACATTAAAAGTTATTTCTATCCTTTGTGGCCAAAATTTGGATCTCAGAAAGGAAATAAGCAAAAAGGAGCACCATTGATTTATGAACCAGGGTGGGTTTTTTGTTTTGCTCTGTAGACTAGACTTAAAGCACATCATGCCATTTCTTACTTGGCGGTATAGAAATTTTCTTCCCTCCTTCCCTAATACTGGTCTACAACCAAAACTCTCTTGGTGGTCTACACAGTTCATAAAAAGAGATGATAAAAGTACAATAAAAATACCATAAAATTAGAAAAATATTTAAAAGTTTTACATAACTAGAACAGATAATAAAAACAGACAATAACAAGGAATGAGAGGGAGGGAGAGAGACCGCAAAAAACTGGGTGGCAAGGCATGGGGAAAAGGGCCATCTGAACCTGGGGTGGAAAAGATGACAGATTCAGCACCAGCCAGGCCACAGTGGGCAGATTATTCCATAGATGGCGGCCACCACTGAGAAAGCCCTCCTCTTGTTGCCACCCTCTGCACCCCTTCTGGAGTTGGCATAGGAGGAAGACCCCAGAGGCTGAGCTGAGTGTCTGAATAGCTTAAAGAAATCAGTATGTGATACGTTCACTGAGTTGATGCTGTTATGGGTCTTGTGGATAGAAAGAAAGAGCAGTCATGTTTGACTGAGATGGGAAGGCATGCGACGGCCGAAAGAGGACTGTGAGATTCGTTTTGCTGTAATACCTCAAATTATAACGTCATTGTATAAGGTGATACCTGCTTTTTTCCCTTTTTTCTTGTCTTCCTGGTTTGGATTTCTCCCAGATGAAGATAAGGTAGCCTCTGTATTTTAAGTGGAAAGAGGCATAGACTGCTCCTGCAATGACTGATCTTAACTAGAGCTAAGTAACAGGCGTGGGTTTCCTTGGCGTTCTGGCTCATTTCTGTCCAGCAGTAAAATGGATGTGAGTCATGGCAAATGCTGGCCAAGGCCTACCAACTAGTGCCTTCCCGTCCTCCTTTCCATGTGGTCAGTACTGTGCCTGTTAAAATGGAATGATCCCAGCTTCCTAAACAAAGGTTTAGAAAGCCAGGGACAAGTGTAGGGACCGCACACTTCTTCTGCCACCTTCAGTTGCGCACTAGGTTGGGCACCAGTTAAATTAAGCCACAGTTCAGTGTTGTGTCTGAAATGGAGCACTGCAGGCTCAGGTTAGTTGAAAATACGGACTAGTGATCTGATATTAAGCCACAGCTCCACCATCTCAGATGTGCCAAGGGAACTGTGGTTTCAAGAAAGTTGAAGAGCTTGAAAACAGCATGTCACAAGCAAGGTGGGGGTGATCCAGGCCTGGCACATATTTCCCATTTAATGGTTTATTAAGCCAGAATTGTTGTTGTTATATTACATTTCTGTACCCTAGCCGAAACTCTGGGCAGCTCACAACATTTGAAGGCACCCATCCAGATCTCAACCAGGCCCAACGCTGCTCAGCTTCCAGGACTAGGTCTGACATAGCTGCTGGTGTGGGAGCTGTAGGTCTCACCCAGGCACACAAGTGCTGGCAATATTCTCTGCCTAGGCTGCATGGTGTGAATCCTGCTTCCTGCTCTTTTTCCCTAGGTTGCAATGAAGCATCCTTCTGCTGTGACTGCCTGCAACCTTGACTTGGAGAACTTGGTGACAGACTCCAACCGCAGCATTGCTACGTTGGCCATCACAACCTTGCTGAAAACAGGCAGCGAGAGCAGCATTGATCGGCTTATGAAGCAGATTGCATCCTTCATGTCTGAAATTTCAGATGAGTTCAAGGCATGGAACATTTGTGCTGGTCCTCGGTTTACCCTGAGCTTTACCCTGTGGGGCCGTGGGTTGCTGTGGGACGGAATGCCAGAATTTTTCCAGAATTGGTTTGCTTTAATCCCTGTCTCCTGTCTAGGTCGTGGTGGTACAGGCCATCAGCACCCTCTGTCAGAAGTACCCACGCAAACATGCCATCCTCATGAACTTCCTCTTCACCATGCTCCGGGAGGAGGTAAGCACGGTGCTTGGATGCTGGCAGATTACAGACATGACAAGCATTTGCTCCGGGATTCTTACAACCCAGACTGGAAGCCTGTACAGTAGAAAGGGCAGGCTCTGCACCACCATCCTTAGGAACTGCTGGATGTAAAGTGTCCTCTGTTCACACTATGCGTACATATGACTAGGAATACACATTGGATTTGGACAAAGTACAAATCTTGAACAGAATTGGGCCGCATTAGAAGAGTCAGGCCCGTCTCACACTAGGAGAAATGAGGCCACTTCCAAACAAGGCTTTGTCAGTGAATTGTGTTTTAGGTTTGATACAAATCCTCAGGCTTTATGTCTCCAAATAGCATATTTTGGGTTCATTTCTGTAATCCCTGCAAGGGAAGGAGTGTGGCTGACAGACTGACAGGTATGGACTTAGAATCCTCGTGTATGTTTTACCAGGACCTCCAGTCCCTATGCTTGGGGGAAGGCAAAAATGGGACAGTGAGATGCCCGTTCTTCCAGTGCCACTGGGTTTCTCCATGAAAAAAGACTTAAGCTGGTGTTCAAGCATCATAACTCTCCATCCCCTTCGCCTGTGCTTCGGAAGCTTGCAGGTGTCTTGTGCCCATAGGCACCTCTATGACTCGTGCCACTTACCTATAACTTTAAGAAAAGACTGGAGGGGAGAGGAGAGGAAGAGGAGGCAAATCACTCTCCCAACTTTTTCCCTAACATGAGCAACTCCCCTTTCACATGAACTGCTGTACCTATCCCTCTGAAATGTTGCAGATTTGTCATTTATGGACATCTCTAGGCTGGCTGCAATTTTCAGAACAATGGCCTACAATGCGCATGAATGAACACGTGCACCCATCCAAATGTCAGAGCTGTTCTTCTTCAGCCCCCCTGGCTATTCTGAAATTTCACAGACTCGGTCCCCTCAGAAGCAACAAATTACTTTCTAGTTCTGCTAAGAAGTAAGGTTAGCAGCAGTTTTCTTAGAAGTAAAATCACAACATAAAGCTGAGTAGCACAAAAACCCTTGCACTTATTTGTCTGACTCTGGCGAGAGAGGCTACTTGCTGCAACTGTAACTCAGTTCTGACCAAAAGGAAGAGACTTAAAGCCATTTTTGAGTACTCATGATAGTTAATGGAAGCATGAAGCCTTGTTTCTCTAAACTTTGACTTGGATTTGGGTTGGTTAAAGTGGACCACCTCCAAATGGATGCAAGCAGAAGTGGCCATTTTTAGAGGTTCCTGTTGGGGTCCAAGTTGAAGCGGGGTGTTGGTGCCTCTTGCCAGAGGTGCATGCAGAGGGCGCTTGAACCTTGAGTCCGAGGCCATGCGAAACTAGGCTGAGGGCCACATGCAGCTCTCAGGCTGTAGGTTCCCCACCACTGCTTTAAACAATGAAAGTTTAAGATCCTTAGATTCCTGGCTCTTTGCTGAACATGCAGGCAACTGAGTGTCCCGTGACTCCATGTACTCTGCCTTGTAGGTGAGAATTCATTGTTCTTGAGGAACTTTCCATTTTCAGGAAGTCTCAGTAAAAGTGGAGCCTCTCTCCTCTTTTCAGCTTTCTTACGGATCTGTGCATGTTCCTGTCTAGGGCGGCTTTGAGTACAAGCGAGCCATTGTGGAATGTATCATCAGCATAATTGAGGAGAACTCCGAGAGCAAGGAAACTGGCCTCTCCCACCTGTGTGAGTTCATTGAAGATTGTGAGTTCACTGTCCTGGCTACCCGTATTCTCCACCTGTTGGGCCAGGAAGGCCCCAAGACCAACAACCCTTCGAAATACATCCGTTTCATTTACAACCGAGTCGTCTTGGAACATGAGGAGGTCCGGGCAGGTATGTGGATTAGAAAAGCTTATGCCACAGGGCACAGGAAGCTCCTGAACCAACCCAGTCTATTGATCTATCTAGCCCCATGCTGCCTGCACCGATAGGGCTGTGTCCCAGCTCTCCCTGCAAACCTTAAGAACGGAACCTGGGATTTTCTGCATGTTAAGCAGGTGATCCACCTCCAAGCTGCAGCCTCTCTCTACTATTGGGATGATCAGTCTCTTCTGACTGCAAATCAGATTTAGGATGGAATCCCTGAAACTTGGGTTCACCCATTAAATATGGGGATTTTGCTCAATTTCTTCTGAATGTTTATCCATGAAGAAACTGCACTGTCTTTGTGGGTTTCCCCCGAGCACCTGATTAACAGAATGCTGGACAAGATGGGCCCTCGGTCCAGATCTAGCAGGACTCTCTACTTTCTTAAAGGACTACCTTCTGTTGGCTGAAGTGCTGATACCCTCTCACTCAGATCAGCTGCCAGGAAGAGTTTAGATCCTTGACCAGGCTTCCATTATGTTAGATTTTTAGATGATCATTATGATCCATCTGAACCTTCAGCAATTCTGTGATTGTTTCCTAGCTAGTCCTTGACAATGAGAACTTTATATATAAATGGCCAAATAAATGATAAGGACAGACCTCTCAGGATTTTCCCCATGTGTTGTCTTCAACTGAACATCCCCCTGCGCTCCCGCCACTCTGCCCTTTCCCACATTTTTTTGCAGGTGCTGTGAGTGCTTTGGCCAAATTTGGAGCTCAGAATGAAGAGATGCTGCCGAGCATCCTAGTGCTGCTGAAAAGGTGAGTTATGAGGCAGGCAGCTTGATCACGAGGTGCATTTCAGGATCCCTACCGCATACAATTGCAGGCACGTCCACATCATTTTTGTTCAGTACTGCTGCTGTGTGAACATCCTGAACAGGGGTTGAACATCCTGTGCTCATCCCCTGTTGCAGTTTGATACGATGTGAAAGTAGAACTGATTTTCCCCAGACAAGCAAAGCACACATTTGTTACATGTCCTTGTTCCATCTAACATACACGGGCTACCCAGCTGTTCAGGGCAAATGTAGCCAGGATTCTTGGATTTGTATCCTTGGGCAAAGCAGGAGCTGGCCAGCTTTGAAGATGGAGTCAGTTTTGAAAAGACATGAAATGTAGAAGGCAATTTTTATTTTGTGCCAAAAAGAACAACCTCTTACATTGCAGATCCCCAAACTACAATGTTCAGAGGAAGGAAAATGCAAAGCTGAAAATGAAAAAAGCCAGTAAAAATAACAGTGTATACTTACGGACTTAATGAAAGTACCATCTGTATCAAAGCTGGAGTGAAAGTTCTCTATGCCTAAATTCTACGGGCAAATTTAGTGTAGAATCATTCTTAAAAGCTTTTCCCAATTCCTCTGCCCAATCCCTTATGGAATAGAGGTATACTGTCGGAGTCCACAGCATAATGACCAACAATGCAGAGTTCTGAGTTGCTTCCAGATGGAGGAACTTCTGTGGTGGCAGCGGGAAGGAGTTACCTTACGCACCGAAGCAGCACACTGATCTAAGTCCTCTCCAATCTAAATGGCAGCTTAGGAGCTTAGCACAAACAGCATGACCCAAAGAAGAGGCTGGCTCACCCTCTGATTCAGCCTTGCATTCAGTAACTTAAGCGAGACTGAGCTAACCAGTTGTTTCCTGGAAATGGTTAGTGCTAGTCCTTAGCACACACCGCTGATTCCATCACTACACTGCATGCCATCACCCTTCCTGCCCGGATAGACTGGGTTTAAAGTCCAGCTGGGGCCATGGAAATTTGCATGTCTCCCACTGAGCAAAGCACTCTGATTTTGATTTCAGGTGTGTGATGGATGATGACAATGAAGTGAGAGACAGGGCCACGTTCTACCTGAGCGTCTTGGAGCAGAAGCAAAAGGCCCTGAATGCTGGCTACATTCTGAATGGTAATTGTTGTAAAGATCTAGTAGCTTTGAAAACACAATGAAGTTGCTTTGACTGCTAGGACTGGTGTGGAACAGGTGAGGTCTTGGGAACCTCCATGCACCCTACAGACTGTGACTTAGATTTTGCAGCAAAACCCTGAGTGCTGCTCATGTTGTGTGTGTGTGAGAGAGAGAGAGAGAGGATTTTACCATTTGATTGGAGCTTTAAAAATAGCTTTCATGTGATGCAAGCTAGATGAGGAAGCTAGAGCAGTTTATCACAAAGTTTCCTGGCACCTTTAAGTCAGGCAGACCAAATGGAAAGCCTTACACCTGAATAATTTCCCTGCTGAAATCCATATCTGACACAGAGCACTCCGAAGGTTTAACTTACCACCCAAACCCATGCACACACCCTGCAAAATTCTTAACTCATTGCCCTAGTCTCACCAAAAAACAATGCCCTTATCCTTTCGCAAACCCCTTTACCCTGAATTGCCAGCTTGGTTCCCGCCAAAGCAGCGTGCAGCTTTCACCTTCCAGCCATCATTTGCATCTTCATTTGTGCCAAATATCTCCTCTTTTATTGAGACGGTGGCGAGGAACAATGTAGGTGCAGCTCCTCTCATTTGGCTTCCTCATCCCCACAAGTCCAGTCCAACAGCTGGGATCCTTTGGGCTAGTGCATCGTCTATGATTTTTAAATGCCTGCTGGCTTGGAGGCTTCCTTCAGTTTCCTGACATTTACTGCTTATTTTAAGTTTTTAAGTCAGTGGAGAAAGCTGAATATAGCATGAGGAGCAGATGAGGTTTTGATCCTAATTTTCAGATCTGTTCTCTGTGGCAGCATTAAGCTGTCTGAGCAGGCTGTATAAGGATGTGTGACGGGTCCTGCCTGCCCGCACAGCTGCCTTTGAGCCCTAAATGGGGACAGATGTGTGCCAGATATTCATACACTACACTAGGGAAGAGAGTAATTTCCAGAGGTACCCTTTTTGGGTTCGGTCTTTTCCTCTTGAAATGAAGATATCCTTCAGGGATGGATTTTCTGCAGAGGAGTTAGGTATCTCTGCATTTGGATGGAGAGGCTCACAGCAGGTAGTGGCTTTTGCCTTGATGTGCAACCCAGTGATGCTGTGGAGGATTAAACTGGCTAAAATCCAAGCACTCTGAGTAGGTTTTTTAGAAGGGCCATATGGAAGAGCAGATGTGCAGAGTTAATTGTACCCTGATTTATAACCTGGCAAAGAGCTCTTTGGGTCTCCGGTAGACTGGATGCTGGTCATCATTTCTCTTCACCAGGATTGACTGTATCCATCCCTGGCCTGGAGAGGGCACTACATCAGTATACTCTGGAGCCGTCTGAGAAACCCTTTGATCTGAGGTCGGTTCCCTTGGCAACCACACCCATCGTTGAACAAAGAACAGGTAAATGTAGAAACAACTTTTTTGTCAGGACTGTTCTTGGGGACCATCCAACTCTCTCTGTGCTTTCAAGATGTCTCTGTTCAGATTTCCTGGGGCCCTTTCAGTCGTAGCATATGTGATCTGAATTGCTCAAGTTTTATCTTATTCAGTGTTTGGGACAGCTTTCTGCTCCCCTTATGCTGCCATCTGATTAAAATCTTGGCAGCATTCTCTTCCATTGCTGTTTGTTCCAAATTGGACTCTCCCTTCTCCCATCAGCCCCTTTTCTCTAAATGAGCATCCCTAATAAGTGTTTCTTCACCATGAGGGGGCTGAGCTTGACCCTTTTGAAGGTACAGAATACTTTCTGGTCAGCAAGCTTGCAAATTATAATATCTCTGCTGTGTTTATTTTGGTCCCCAGCAGAAAATGCTCCTATATCTTCAGTCAAGCAGCCAGAGAAGGTGGCAGCAACCCGACAAGAAATATTCCAAGGTATGCATGTTCCATGTGTTTGGTAATAAAATTAAAAAGATGAAGTAGTTTGTGGAAGAGGTTTTATTCCACCAGTCTTACGACATCTGGAACTTTTTGAATCACCAGGCTCACTACCTAGGAACACTTAAATGAGCAATGAAAAGAATTTTCTCTCCAAAACTTTAGCTAACCTTGTATGGCTCGGCTGCACTCTTCTGAAATTTGGAAAATAACTATGCTTGTTGTTTGTGCACTTGGCGAGAGATTGATAGGTTAGAGCCAAGATGCAGGCTGCCGTGAACCGAAATCCATTGGAGGCATGAGTGGTTGTGGTTGTTATGTGCCATCAAGTCGCCTCCGATGCCTGGTGACCCTATGAATGGACAAAAAAATAGAAAAACTTGAATTTTCTTAAACAAGTTTATATATGCTAAGCAGGAGTTGATGATCAAAAAAATCCCTGCATTTCCAAAGTGTGTCAACATGTGTTTCTGGATTTGTGTCCACCCCAAAGCAGGAGAGACCCAGAAAAGAGCAATCTTCTTTCATCTTTTCTTTTTCACCATGATAGGAGTCACCCATTTTGATTTTTAGCAGCTATATTCACAGAGCAACTAAAAAGTGTCCTCTTGAGAATTTATTGCTGGATTGTGATCCAAGTAGGAGGAATAAGTGGCAGAAAGAGACCAGCTCATGTTGGCCGGAAGGTCTCATGCTTGTTTGCCCATGAAGAAGATCTAGAAGGAAAAGTACTCCAGATGTGTACAGAAGAACCTCTGCTAGACAGACTCCTCAGGAGTAAACACTCCCTCCTTTGCATTTGTCCAAAGAAATAATGGTCTGGCAATGAACAGAAGCATCTTTCTTCTCTCTCTCCATTGTATTTCAGAGCAACTAGCAGCTATTCCAGAGTTCGCGGGACTTGGTCCACTGTTCAAGTCCTCTTCTGAGCCAACAGCACTTACAGAATTGGAGACAGAGTATGTAATCCAGTGTACCAAGCACACATTCACCAACCACGTGGTGTTTCAGGTGGGTATTGTTCTTGTAAAGACAGGGTTGTATCCAATCCTAGGCTTACGTAAAGTACGCTCATTGAAATTAATGGGTCAAGTTAGTCATGCTTAACTTAATTCCTATTAATTTCAATGGGTCTTCCCTAAGAAAGACTAAGATTGGCCACAACCCACAATTTCCTAATGAATGCTGCCAGTGGTGGTAGTCAAAGTCCCAGAGGAGTAATTGTAGACCTTACAGCAATTTAGAAATGGTTCTGCTTCCATTTGCTGCACTGGGGATACTATGCCACTAGAGCAGGGGTCCTCAAACTTTTTCAACAGGGGACCAGTTGAAAGGTGCTGGTGGGATGGTGAGGGAGTGAGGGGCACAGGGGCGTGCGGGGCAAGGCAGCGGCTTGCTCACGCAGAGATCGTTTTCTCTGATCGAGTCCAAAGCGATCTCCATGCGAGCAAGCTGCCGCCTCGCCGCATGCCTGCGCACGTGCGCACATCAAGTCCCAAAACCTCTGAGGCAGGCTGGATAAATGGACATGGCGAGCCACATGCAGCCCGCAGGCCGTAGTTTGAGGACCCTTGCACTAGAGCATGCATTCGGCCATAAAGCTAAACCACGGGAACGAGCCTGCTCAGGGATCTCTCCTCCTCCCCCAGTACAGGGCTGAAGAGGAAGTGTTTGCTTTTTTTTTCGGGGGGGGAGCTTCCAAAATTTGGAAATTTTTGCTTTTGTTTTCAGCTAACCATCTTTACTTAGTTAATCTGCACCAAGAACCAATATTAGTATTAACTGTGGTTTAGGGAATTAGCCAGGGCAATAAACCACCATTTGGAGTTGGGTTGCAGCTCTAAACCAGCCTTACCTGGCCTGCCTACAGACTGCAACTCCTGTCATTCCCAGCCAACACATCTGGAAGGGGACCTTCCCCAGGAAGAGGAAGGTTGACGTAAGCCAGAGTTAGGTGGAGACACCAGGTTTGGATATAATGAACAACTGTGGGTAGCCGGAAATGGAAGCCAAACTTTGCAATCTCATAGCTGCAGAGGGATAAGGGGAGTGTGCGAACCCTGAAGCACATGAGTGTAACCTAAGCCATAGTTTAGCACTGTGTGCAGGCCATGTGGTAGTGCAGTGGTGGTGAACTTTTTTCTGCCCAGAGGCCTGATTCTTGCTTTCACAGAAGCTCTCAGGTGACATTCCAGAGGTGGGCAAACAACCAGCCACTGAGAGAAAAGGAAACAGGAATCCCATAATGACTGAAGTGCCTCAATTTAGGATTCCAAAAGCCACTGGACATGAGCAATTTCCTTTAGCCCAGTGTGTGAAAAGAATCACTGCATGCAGCACAGCTCTCTGATGGCAGATTAAAGGGCCTCCGAACAAAGGCCCAGTGCCTGCTTATAATTACTCAATGGTGAAGGGTTTCAGTAGGTGTAATGTCGCCCATCATGGTTCTAAGAACCTTGAAATGCATGTAAATTTGTTTCAGTACAGAACTTTGTATACGCTTTGGAAGGTGGTAGAAGTGTCATTCTGAAGTAACTTGATAAGTATCTTAAGGATCTGCTGGTGCAGAACATAAGCATGATGCGGTATGAAAAGCTACTGTACTGAGATTGCCTCTTGGCTGGAACAGGCACTGTGATTGTCTGCTGAGGTTTCCCAGTCTGCAGCACAAGCCGTGAAGCTGTTGCAATGTTGAAACCTGTCTTTAGATTTCTGAACTGGAAGCATTTGGGAGACTGTACATAGCAGGAAGCATCTTCCTTTGGCCCCAACAAAACAGGTTGTTTACTGAAACAAGCAGTGGCTCCCCAAAAAATGAAGCAGGGAGTGTTTCTACTGTAATTTATTTAACCAGTTATTCTATTTATTTTTGATCTGCCCAATAACCAATGTTCTCTAGGCAAAACCTGTCAGTACAGTATGTTCAATGCTCTGAACAGACTTCATGCCGTGATATACTCTATTTGTCCTGATAGTTTGACTGCACAAACACCCTGAATGATCAGATCCTGGAAAATGTCACAGTGCAGATGGAGCCAGCAGAGGGATATGCAGTGATTGGTTATGTACCTGCCAAAAGCTTGCAATACAACCAACCTGGAACTTGCTATACATTGATTGCATTGCCTGAAGAGGACCCAACAGCAGGTAAGAACATTCTCTTTCTTCATCTAGCTTCTGTTCTCAGTTAGAGAGCCAGTGTGGTTTAGTGGTTGGATTTCTGGATTAGGACTCGGGAGGTCCAGGTTCTAGTCCCCTTTTGGCCATGAAACTCACTGGATGACCTCAGGCCAGTCATTGACACTCAGCCTAACCCACCTCTCAGGGTTGTTGTGGACTGAAATTGAGAGGAAGAGATTCATATAAGCTGCCTTGGAGTCCTTCAAAAAGAAAAAAAGGCAGAGTATAAATGAAATGTAATAATAACCCCACATTCTCTCACAAGATATCTCCAAGCTCATTTGTATAGAAACTAGATGGATGCTGAGTTTTGAAAAATTACCTAACATTAGATTCCATGTTGCTGTGTATTTCTCATAGGCCTAAAGGTTTCTCGATACCCTTTCTGTAAATAACCTTGTATACCTAGAAAGAAAAGTTGGTATATTAACATGACCTGTCTGTCTGTGGATAATTGCAGCTAATTTGGCAGGCCTTCCTCAGAACCCGCAGTGTCTTTTTAATCAGTGGGCATGTTTTGCCTTGGACCAGAGACAAGGATGAAAATTAAGCTGCCAATTTTACAGTGGCATGACTTCTGTTTGTGCTGGCTTTTTCTCTCTTTGTAGTGGCTTGTACGTTCAGCTGTATGATGAAATTCACCGTCAGGGACTGTGATCCAAACACTGGTGAAGCTGAGGAGGAGGGTTACGAGGATGAATATGTGGTAAGGAGGGGGCTCTGGTTAGTTCGCAGGCCCCTTTTCAATGTCACTTGGCTCAGTGCCACAAGGTGGAGGTCATCCGCCCGTAAAATGGCTTCTCCCACAAGTTCCTCTTATGGGGACCTATGGCTGGTACCAACAAATTCATTTGCAACCCTGTTTTGTCAGGACCGAAGGCTGAATTTGACAAAGGTTCTGAGCTAACAAGCTGTTGAGTCACAGCATGTCCAGATGGCTAAGTGTCAAACCTGGAGCGTCCTGTCAGCGTTGCTCATGCACAGACCTGGCTTGTGACCAGCCGGATTTTGGCAGCCGTGGACTTGAAGGGCCGCGGCATCTCCCCTCCGGGATGCTTGCTGCAAGCTACCCACATTATCCCTGTGCTTCATGAATAAATGCCTTGCCAAAGTAGTTTTGCTTGTTTATGGCTTAGGTAGGGTTTTGTTTTGTTTTGTTTAGAAGGAACTCCCTCTTCCTGTGCATACTTAAAATACCAGTGGCTCTGCATAAAAATTTGCTCTATGAAGAGCAGAGCAGACATGCTGAGGGATGGAGGGTGATGAAGAAGCTTTTATGCTCTGTGGCTTTCTTTGTATGTGCCGGAGCCAGATCAGGGCACTGTGGAATGTGACTGTGAAGCATCATCAAATGTGAAGGGATTGGATAGGGGGATTTTTGGAGAGACTTCTTTGGACCAGTCCCCTGACGTTTCGGGTCAGGGCACTTTTTAGTTTACGTAAATCGGTGCATGAGCTGGGCTTCTTCCCCCAAAGTTTATTTTCTGCCAGGAGCCTTGGTCACTGCACACAGGGTGGTATTTCCCCTCCTCCTCATTCTGAAGAATAGGCTGCACAATGCAAGTGGAGCCCCGCTTTGATCTATTGATCTGGATTCTCTGTATCTTCCTCCCTGCTGAGTGACTGGCTGTGACACTCCTGCTGAGCGTCACATCCACCGCATCTGCTGCTCAGGAAAGCTAAATATTAATAATCTCACCTCATTTGGGAATGTAAAAGACAGATGACGTTCAGCCTTCCCTTGTGCTGTACAAGGAAGAGATGCACTTGAGCAACTCCGTCTCACAGGTTGAACAGCCACAGCCTGTGCATGCCCTCGCCGACCATGTTAGAAGGGTGGAGCAAGCCCCCGCCCAGCACCCACCCTCACACACGAGGCAGGTGCTCTACTGGGAGCTCTGTGAGGAAGCCTTTCTTTGCCCTGTCGCTCGGGCCCAGAGAGGTCATGCGGAAGAGTCCATTGTGCATATAGTCTTAGTGCAGAGCACCGACCTTGTCATGCATTCTGTGTGTGGTGAAGAAGCACATGGATCCTGCCTGCATTGCATGATTTGGCGTGCCAGCCTGATGAATGCATGAGCCTGGCCTGGGTGCTATTATTCAGGTTAGCATACAATCAGAACTGTGTCAAGTGGGTGCCTTGGGAAACTGCCCATTTTTATATAGTTGAACCTGCATCTGTTTCCTGCCAGATAGAAATAATTTTGCATCAGATGAGAGAAGGTGCAGGTGTATGAGTGTTTTGCCTCTGATCATACTCACAAGGGATGTTGAAGGGAAGGAGTAGCTGAAGAAGAAGCCTGCAAAGCCCTGGATGCCTTGGGCACCATCCTTCTAAGTCAGGAGTGGGGGACCTCTGGACCTTCAGGCATCCCAGGACTTCAACTCCCATCTGCCCCATTCAGTATGTCCAGTGGCCAAAGATGATGGGATTTGTCATCAGATAGGGAGGACTGCATGTTCCCTACTCCTGTTCCAAGTGCTACACCTTTCCCCAATCACTGGTCATATTTAATAAGGTGCTTTGTCCCACCCACACAGACCAGAAACTTGGTTAAAATTCCCTCCTTCCCAGAAAAAATGAAAGATAAACTTATGGGGTGCAGCCCTGTGCTCAACTGGATAGAAAACAGGCCTACAATTGCCAGCAAGGCTGGCTGGGGCATACTGGGAGTTATTTTGGGCCTGCCAAAATCTGCACCAGACGTAAGACTCAGCACACGTTAAATGAGTGGCCAGATGGAACGTGTACAAATACATATATGTACACACACCCCCTTTAGGCTGTAGGGACAAAGAGGATACTCAGTGGGTGAGAAGGAGCCTGTCCCTCAGAAAGGACCTCAGTGTTATGTAGCTTGCTTCCATATATAGTAGTACATTTTTGGTCTGAATTTTCAAAGACCTCTTCATTATTCCTCCATCTAGCCCAATATGGGCTACACTGGCTAGCAGTGGATCTCCAGTCTCTCTCCCCCCCCCCCCAACCCCCCCGGCCACTTCTTGATCCTTTAACTGGAAATAGTAAGAACAGGTCTGGAGGCTTTTAGCTGAGCTCTGGCTCTGCCAATGAGACATATGACTTCTCTCCCAGTTCTGGGAATCAGAGCTTTTAATGGGGTCAACGGTAAATTGGATGGCACTGAGCTTGAAAAACAGCCTGGTAAAAGGACAGTAGGCCCAAAGTGGTGCCACCAATTTGTTTTTTCTTCCTTTCTTTTGGGTACTCCTCTGATTTTGGATCTCTATCAAGCATTTTCATGTTAGCCTGTTCAGATGTCAGCAAAGGATCTGCTCTAGAGAACTGCATGAGGAAGAACCCAAGTGCTTTCCAAACCTCACTCATGTGTCCAGTATTAGAACAAAATGTTGTTACTTTATAAACCAAGAGAAATTGCAGCAGGAGGAAGATACTGGGGGTTGCTAGGTTTGCGGGGTGGGCAGCAGGAACAGAGATGTGCTAAAGTAAGGGTGTCAAACAAGCTTCAGCCTGAAGACCACATTAAATTTCGAAGAAGCTGCCAAGAGCCATAAAGTAGCTCAGCCTTAGGAGAGGTATGTTATGTCAGCCTTTGAGAATGGGGTGAGGGACAGGCAGAAGCTGATAGGCAATCAGACGAAAGGGGAGCTGAAGAAAGAGATGGGATCATTTGGGAAACCCTCAAAGGCCCAATTTGGTCCATGGGCTGCTTTAAAGTAGCATCCCCACTTTAAAGCAAATGTGCTCACTGTTGTTCAAGGAGCCAGAGGTGAAGCTGGATTTCAGAACATCACCATGTCAAATATCTTTACCCTTTTAGCTGGAGGACATTGAGGTGACCATAGCCGACCACATCCAAAGGGTTCTGAAGCCAAATTTTGGAGCAGCCTGGGAAGAAGTTGGTGATGAGTTTGAAAAAGAAGAAACGTTCACGTTATCCACTGTAAAAACACTAGAAGGTAAGGAAGCACCTAATACTCGCAGGGTTCTTGGTGTCTCTGTGCAAAAAGTCCAGTGCTTTGAAACTGCTTTGCTTTGAATTGTTCGTGAGCTCCAGCTCCTTGGGTTTTCTCCTGTCCACAATTCCCAGGAGCCCTCTAGTGAGTTAGTGTTCACCAGAGCATCCATAGCACGCTTCCACTGGAGGCACTGAAGTGATCTCCCCACATAGCACCAGACTCGAATGGAAGAAGTGGTCTTGGTTTCACTCTCCACAGGGGCAGTGAAACAACTCTGTAGTGATACTTAGGGGTTCCAGGTTCATCAAGCAGTTTTACGACAGAGCCTCAGAGACGTGTTCCAGAGCAGGGGCAGGCAGCCTGATGCCTTCCTTGACTTTGTTGGCTAGGGCTGATGGGAGCTGGAGTCTAACAGTATTTGGAGGGCCTCATGTTTCATGCTTCATCCTAAGATGGCAATGAAAAAGTTCATTTATGGCTCTTGCTTGAAGAGGCTTGTGTGCTTTCTCACAAAGAAAACTGGTTGGTTTTGGTGTTTACACAAAATGCATACTTAAAAACTGTTCCTCAACATTGGCAGGAATTTATGGGCTATAGAAGGGGTAAGAAATGTGCAACCTACCAGATGCTGTTAGACTACAACTCCCATCAGAACCAATATAACCAATAGTGAAGGGTGATTGGAGTTTCAATTTGGGAGGCCTTGCATTTCCTAGCCCTGGTCTGCAGGTTATGTTTTCTGGCCTTTCCCCTTCACTCTGTCCTCTGACAATTTTTCTCCTTATTGCACAAGTACCTGAAATCTCAGCAATATCACAAAGCCATTTTACCATCTTCAAAATTGCTTCCCTAACGCCCATAAAGAATACAAGACAATCCTTCATATTAATCTCATCAAATAATTTTCCAGTGTGCACTGTTTTTAGTCACCGCCTTAACTCATTATGGTAGTTAACATTGTCTTTCACTCTCACAGCTTCTCATGTGATTCTGCTCCAAAGTGTATTATTCATATTACATTGATGCCCAAAGGTCTCAGATGAGATCAGAACCTCAGCTGTTCCTAATCTTCTGCAAGCACAGTTGGCATGTGAGCAGCAGTTTCTTCTTTTAGGAACCTACTGTGTCATCAGGAAACTATGAGCAGAATAAGCATTGAGAGAGGAGATGAGGGACTCCCATTCTTTTCATTTCTACAGAGGCGGTAAGCAACATTGTGAAGTTCCTGGGGATGCAGCCCTGTGAGCGGTCAGACAAAGTGCCTGAAAATAAGAATTCGCATGCCTTGTATCTGGCAGGTGAGCTGTTACGGTCACATCTGGGCTTCAATTATTGTGGTGGTCCTAATGGATGCAGCTGCCTCTAAAGGACTAGGGGGAAAAACCACTCCTTTACCAGCTGGGCCTTAGCCCCTTTCCAGGCACTGCCCTTGTTCTGGGTGAATTGTGCAGCAATCCCCTTCTTTCTCTCACTAGGGAACTGAAGGACAGCGGATGAGGGAAGTCCAGCTTAGGTATCACCCGTCTGAGCAGGGACTTCCATTCTCTGGACATCAGTATTTCCTAGTGCTGGAAAATGTGGGCCATGCAGCTGTTGGGAAGCAGAGATCCTTCTTCCATCTGGCATTACCTTTGAGTGTGCCTGCTGTAGACAAGGTAGTGCCATGGGCACCAGCTAGACAGTGCCTGTGACTTTATGGCTAGACTAAGAAGCCCCTCCCTTGCCTTCTCGTGCCAGTTGAATGGCCTCTGTGCCTGGGTGTGCCATCTTATCTCTCCTGTAGAAGATTTTTAAAAAGAGAGACAATGCCCACCCTCCTGCAGCCCCACCCCAGTATGCTGTCACCTCAGCTTACTACTACTTGGGGGTGGCGATCACATTTCATGTGATAATCGAGCATTAAGCAGAAAAGGAATATTTGTTTGTTTGTTTATTTACAGCAGTTTTAGCCCACTCTTCTGCCAAACAAGGCGGTCGGAGTGGCTTACAAAGATAAACAAGATAGACCCTATCTTCAGGAGTTCAGCCTAAAAACACAGCACAAAAGGAAAAGAGGTTTGCAGGGGAGGAGGCAAAAAAGCAAAACCCAGGCACCAGTTCTTAATTTTAAAGTCCTTATATCTCTTTGGGAAAAGGAAGGAAAGGGTCTAAAAAGTCCTGTACAATGTTTCATTAGAAACACCAAGGCCTTGCACAGTCAAATTGCACATGATCCTGAAGCTGCCTCTACTTTTTGCTGTAATCCTATTAGAGAGAAGAAAAATGGGTATGGTAACACAAGGTGATTTTAAGGAAATAAATATAATGTTGGATGGCCATTGGCCAAAACACCGTTAATATGATAAACATGAATGACAGTAAAATAGTATTATTGAGTCTTTATGTCTTTAGCTGAATTTCTTTGAGAGACAATAGCGACAGAATTGTTCAAACTGCACAAGCTCACAGACATGTTACATCTTGCCTCTGTATCTGCAACAGGTGTGTTTCGGGGTGGTCACGACCTCTTGGTTCGCGCTCGCCTTGTCCTGACAGACAACGTGACGATGCAAGTCACTGCGCGGAGTAGAGAAGAGCTTCCTGTGGATGTCATCATGGCCTCTGTTGGCTAGGCACATTTTAGGACTTTGCATTTCAAATTCCGAAGTTGAAGGGGGTATTGGAAATCTCTTCTCACTATTTTGGATGCTGAGGGGATCATTAGAATACTGGCATCAGCTCTTTTTCTAATTAGAAAATAAAGATTACTTGTGTGGATTAAAGCCCAAGAGCGTTTGTAAGGGATGCTAAGAGGTTTATGAAGGTCTGAATAGGTCATTTCTTTCAGAATCTCTAGGCCACTTTGAAAGAGCATCACTTTTCATACCAAACTGGAAGGCTTCACTGACAAAGGATCCTGAAGTTGTTTTTATGGGCTCTAATTGTGGTAACAGCGTGTCAGATACCTACTGTGAACAATGAGAGCCTTTACAGTCAGGACAATTAAGTCCTTCCAAACAGATTATAAAAATAACCTGATTTTTTCTCTCAATAGCCGTGCCAAGGTTTAGCTTCCTTACAGAAACTTTAAAATACATGCATGTGTCATGGTATTGCGGAAAGGCTATCTTGGTGCTCGCTGAAATTTGAAAGGAAATTAAGTGTATAGGGTCACCATTTCTTGCTCCTGTTGTACTGAAAAAATACCAACAAATACCTACATGTTGATGTACAGCATGTTTGTATCAAAATTAGCTGGCTCTAGTCAAGGCCAGTTTTTCTTTTCTTATATGCTATAAGAAGAACCCTTCTTGCTATAAAGAGCTGTTTCTGGAAGGGATTCCAAATCACACTCTGCCAAAGTAATTTTAAATGCTAAAGAAAAAGGCACAGGGCTATCCTAAGAGTCAGCCTGACCCTAAAGCAGTAGATTACTGTGCAATCTCTCTCTCTCTTTTGTATTTTGCAATATCTGGAAAAAAAGAACAGTCAAATAAATGTTTGCTAGTCATGTTATTTCATCTTTCTAAATGCCACTTATTTTAAGAGGACAGCCACAAGTTTCTATTACAGACATATTCATGTGTTTTTAAGTTGGTTTTAGTAAAGCTAATGCTATGCTTTACTATATTCTGCAATTTTATATGCACATGCTGTGCCACATAATCCAGCATTTAATTAGAGTATAGCAGCTTTCCCCAAATGTATGCCTTCTGGATATTTTGGAATGCCAGCTTCCATCAACTTCAGCCAGCTTGGCTAATGTCTAGGAATTTTAGAAATTGTAGTCTAAAACATCTGGAGGGTACCCAATTGGGCTAGTCATTATAGTTACAAAATGCTGCTGTATCTCACCAGTCTTTTCACATCTATATGGTTTTGCAAGAAGAGGAACAGTTTATAGAGGGCATATAAAGACCATTTTACTCATTATGCATAGGAGTTACTCTTGGAAAGCTCAAACCAATCCTGGCTCTCGCTGAGTCAACCTATATGGTACAAATCTTTGCAGATACATGTCTCACACACAATTTATCATTTTAGGTGTTCTGCCCAAAATACCTGGTTTAAAGATAATCAGCATAAAAGTTGTTGAAAATGATAATATATTCAGTATAAAAACACTTTTTCCTCCTCTAAATGCCCCATTATTACTATCAGTTATTTCCTTTTCAGCAAGGCTGTGTTTTGAAAATACTTGTTTACAGCAAATATGTATTCTCTGGTCTTTCCTACATGCTTTCTTCCCATAGCTCAGATGTTTGGGGTGTTTGGCTTTTACCATCTGCTTTCATAGCTGTTGCTAAAGTCTTTGTTTACATAGCTGTTGGCCTGCCTAGTGCCCGAAAGATATTCCCTGGATTTGTCAGATTGTCTTTCTATCCTCTGTTGATTAAAGCTTGCCTGGCTGAACCCTCATATATTGACCCTCTAAACAGAACGTTAACATGTGTAAAGCAAATGCATGCAGCTACACAAACAAAAGCATAGACTCTAATTGAAAACAGGCTGCCCAGGAATATGGTCACTTTATATGCCGGTTTGTGATCTTCTCAACATTGAGAGGAAACAGGCAGGCCGGTCAGTCATTTGTTGGGAATGTTCATGTTTAGGATTTTTCTGCCTCAAACAACATCGGACTATGTAGTCTACAAGGTTCCCTCCAAATTCTGATCCTGAGTTTGTGAGAGCGGATGGATAATCTCTCATTGGCTAAACTGCCTGAAACTCTACCTGCATCTAGATTTGGTTCATTGGATCCAGGACAAGCAGGTGTATGTTTGATTTTATTTCATGAGAAATCTAACTCAGAACCTGATAGAGAAGATTCAGATAGGTGTTGCGTATTGAGCTGGGCAATCATTTAAATAACTGTAGTTGTTTAATCTGCCTCCAAACCAAAGCATTTATAATGAAAGTACATATTACTAGCATGGGCGTCCTTCAGAGATTTCCCTTTCTTTTATTCTTTATATTCTCTTTATTTATACTCTTTCCTTTCATAGTAACATTATTTTTTAAGTGCACCCTTAAGAGCCATGCCAGATCAAATCAAGGGTGCCTCTAGTCCAGCATTCTCTTCACACACCAGGCAACTAACTGCTTGCAGGAAAACCCATAAGAAGGACAGGAGTGCAAGTGGACTCTCCCTCCCAAGTACCCCACCAAATGGTCCATGCAGGCATAGTGCCTCTTATCTGGGGGTATCCTATAGCTTTCAGGACTAGTAGCCATTGATAGCCTTCTCCAGGAATTGGCTCCCGACTCTCATTGCTGCTCACTGAAATTTGGTCCCTGCCTATTAAAGTTATCCTTCCCAAATTTAATCAGCTGAAACCTTGCTTAGGTAATTTATTTGTTAAAATAATTAAATATTGCCATGCTAACATGAAATCAAAATTGGGGTGGGGAGGTTGTATTGTTGAGTAAATTGGATTTGCCTTTGTTCACTGGGTAATCTCAAGAAGTTCACAATCTGTCAGTCAAGTCTTCCTTTTTAGGATTGTAAAGTGAAATGCTATCAGATACTCAGTGCTATCAAATGAGTAGTAATCTAAAAATAAATCCCAATTTATAATATAGTATCTATCATTTAATTTTTGTTCAAAATCCCAGTTGCCTGTTTTATGCTGAGCCTGTACCTAGTACAGAATTCATGGAATACCCACAAAAGTTCTTGCACTGATAATTGAGCTGCATTTCTTGGATGTGGTGAATTTGAAATTTTAGTACTGTGAATTAAGATTTCCATGCCATAAATGAAAAATATACTCATAAAAATTGATGTTCTAGAGAGCTACAGGAAACTAATATACATTCTTACTTGCTCATTTTATTGCATAACTGCTCATAGGCAGGTTTGCAGCAACTAAATTACTAAGAACATTTAGCCAGAGAGCATCTAGTTTTTTTTTTTCAAAATCTAATGTCTGCAAATGGTTTTTAAAAAGTTAAAATAATAGTGATTTGGCAGCACAGTACAATTCTGCACAAAACATGACCCCAACTGCTCCAGCACTATGTACTTCAGACTCTGATTAAAATAGATTTTTTTGCCAAAGTTAACATATATAGAATCAGACTTTGCTGCTGTTCAGTTGTTCAGTTGTATCCAACTATAAGAGAGCCTATGGGTCAAATCTCACCACCCTTTCCAATCCTGTGCCACCTCTTTCAGCTGAACTATGCTCTGGCCTGCATCCTCTTTGGTGGAGTCTAACCACCTTGCTCTTGGCGACCTGATTTTTCTCTTGCCACTGAGCATTCCAAGCATATCTTTTTCTAATGAACTTGATTGCATAATGTGGCCAAAATACCAGTATGTGAGTCTCAGCTTTGTCATCTTGCCAACCAGGGATGCATCTGGTTTAATATGCTCCAGCATCTGCTTGTTCATGACTCCCGCTCTCCATGGAATATGTAGGAACCCCCACCACCACCACAGTTTGAATGAATCAATTTTCCTCTTGTCTATCTTTTTCATTGTCCAACTTTCACAACTGTAGGTTGCAATAGGAAAAATTATCACTTGGCCCAATCTGCACTTGGTTGCTAAGCTGATGTTCTTGTTTTTCCACACTCAATTCATGCCTGTCATTGCCATACGACCTAGTGAAATTTGTTGCTTTATTTCTGTACTGCATTCACCGCTGTGAGTAATCAGTGATCCCAGGAAAATGAATTCCTCTACACATTCAATTGAATCAGACTTTATTTAACTCTAATTCTGCAAATGGGGAATATGTGGGGAACATATAGGGATTATGTGCTGTAGACTAAGATTCTGGGGTTCAAGATTTCCTAGAAGGCTCGTTTTCTTTATTTCCTAAGCCTCGCTGCCAGTTTCCGCACAAGCTACCATACATTAGTTTTTCATTTTTATCTCGCAATTCCTGCTAGAAGATCGAAGTCAGCCAACTGTCCTTTGAGGCTGGTTAGATAGAAATCTTTCATAGACTGTGCAGAATGAGCTGGTAAACTGCTCTGTTGCATTACTTTGGTGGGGGACAGGAGAGAAATAGAGATCCCATTTGTGAATGGAAGTGCCTTTTGGCTGTGATTCCCTTCTTGCACATATCCAGTGTATTTATGAACACTCTGCTTCATGCATAGAATTGATTTTGTACAGGACAAAGGCTTCACAGAAAGCCCTTACCTATGTACGTATTTGCTCCACACCTGCCTAGCTATATTTAAATATAAATACCCAACAGCTTGTCTATTGTTAACACTCCAGCTCTGCCATCCATGTCAGCAAAATGCAAGCACGACTGGTACACAGAATATTTGAATATAACACTGGAACACTTACATGTGCAAGATTTCCCCCGAGATCATACATCCTGTACAAAGCAGAACTAAATTTGACTTAGACAAGTTTATACAAGCGTAGGTCTGCTCATAGGTCATACCCACATATGAGGCACCTGCTTTCTGAGCTCGGACTTTGCCTTGGCACTTGAACGTGACTCTCCTCTGTCCAAACCCTTTGAAAATTTGAGGACACCTTGCGGTTTATCGCTTGGTGGAAACAGAGAAGGCCTCTGCACGTGCTCAAGGGTGCTCCTGAACTGCACCTGACAGGTTTGGTTTTGGTTTTGTTTTTTTAAAGACCGGCTCCGGGGCTCAGTCCTGTGTGTGCATGAAAATGCTTAAAGGAGAGCAAGGAGGTATGCATCCCCCGCGGCCCGCAAGGAGAGCGAAGGGGCTTGACCCACTGCCTGGCTTCCGAGGCAGCGCTTTCAAAACGGCCGCCGAGAGACGCGGGGGAAGAACCAGCGACCGGGTCGGGTCGACGTCACTACTAGGCCGGAGCTGGATCAGGGGAAGCGACCGCAACGCCGGGAGGCGCCAAAAGCTGGTGAGGGCGCCGCGGAGTCCCGCCCCACCGCCGCTCCTGCTCTGAGGAGCCTCCCTTCGCCTTCGCTTTCGCCTTCTCCTCCGTCTCCGTCTCGTGAGAGCGGAGTAAACCGCGGGAGGCGGCCGAGAAGCTGAAAGGAAGAGCCACGGCAGGGGCGCCTTCTGACGTGCTAACGCCCTGCTCGCTTTCCCCCTTGTGACGACTCCATTAGTAGCTTCGTTCCGTCGACTCGAAATTCCTCCTTTTCCTCCCAGGTAACAAAGGCGCCCTGCTCCTTCCCCTCCTCCGTTTCCTCTCAGAGCTTCTGGGGACCTTTTGACTCCTGAACGGAGAGGGAAGGGGAAGGAAAGGAGGCACATTGCAGAGCTTTGTGAGGTCGCTGGTTCTTAGCAAACTTCGGAAGGCTTTTTTCTCTTTTGATCGCGAGGGTTAGACGACAAGAGTGTGTCAAAGGTGCCGGCTGGCACCTTTTCTCCACCGGGCCAGGTTAAGGTCCCGGGACGAGACGGAAAACCCCCAACAGCTTGGGGCCATCTCGAGAGCAAGCGTGCCGTGGCGGCTGGAGCGCCGGGCCCGGACGAGGGAGACGGGTTATGGCCTCCACTCGGCCTAAACTACCTCATAGAGTCGTCGAGAGGATAAAATGGGGAGGAGGGCTGCAGAAGCTTCCCGGGCTTCTCACAGGAGGAAAAAGAAAAAAAGACAGGATGGAAAAAGCATCCCTGTGATAGAAATAGCCTTCTCGCTTCCCAATCTGCCTTCTCAGTGAGGGCTGTGGAGGTCATTCTCCTTGAGGTTCCTCGTGGACCGTCCTACGGCCGAATTAGAGCCCACCAGAAAGCTGCATTTCTCTGGACCCTCCTGCCCCTGGATCCCTCCTGCTCCTGGTTAGGGAGGCTCTGGCACCATTTTCTTTTGCACCTCCAGAAAACAGTTTATTTCAGGAAGCTTCCTGAACTAACCAGCCACAGTTGCAATGTTACCCTGCACTGCTCTGACTCTCTTACCTTTTTATTTGTTATTGTTCCCTCCTCCAGAGTCTGTGTAGACATGGAGCAGTATACCAGTACTGTAAATAAATAAAGATAAGGAGACTTCAAAGAAGCTGAGTGACTTCTTTGTATTCATTGCGAAAGGCATAGAGGCATATTTACTTGAACATAATTTGTCAGGAAGGGACTTTGAGAAACTAAGGTGGACAGTGGTGAGAGATGAAGAAATAGGCTCCCTCCCCAAGTTCTCTGTTGGGCCAATACTTTTTAATTTGTTCATAAGTGAGCTAGAGTTAAGGATACACAATGAGGTGGCCCAAGTTTGCTGACAATACATAATTATTCAGGATGATAAAAACAAAAGAGGGTTGTAAAGAGTTCCAAAAAAAATCTCTCCAGACTGGTGAATGGACAACAATAAGCAAAAGTGCTTCAGTGTAAGGATGAGTAAATAATGTACATTAAGGAGAAAAATCATTACATAATACCTTGGTAGGGTCTGGGTTGGTAAGGACTGACCAAGAAAAGGATCATATGTCAAAGTGCATAGTTCAAATACAGCTTGACCAAGGATATGGCAGCTGTGAAAAAGGTGACTTTCCTGTTGGGGACCATTAGGAAAGGGGTCCAAACTCTGCAGATGATAACATGTTTACATTATTTTATAGTGCTACCACACTTTGGATACTCTGTTCAATTCTGGTTGCCAACCTGTCAAAGGTAAAGAGTGTAAAGAGTGACAGACAAAATGATCTAGGGATTCAGGCAATTTCTCTATGAGGAAAGGTTGTAAAAGGGGGCTTTTTAGCTTGCAGGATGACATGACCGGGGTTTATAAAATTATGAGTATCCAGATGATAGAAAAGTTTTTCTCCCTCTCTTATACTACCAGAATCTGGGTCATCTAATAAACAGAATGGTGGAAAATTCAAGTTATTCAAAAGGAAGTGCTTCACACAGTGTATTGTTCATTTATAGAACCTGCTACCACAGGATGTGGTAATGGCTACCAACTCAAATTGCTTCAAGAAGGGATTAGGCAACTTGCTGAATGCTTTGTGCTACCTCTACGATAAGAGGCAGTATTTCCAATTTCTATGGATTATACTGGCTGTACTATTTTGACCTGTTTATATTATTACAATGAATTAATCATATTTTACTTTGCTTTTGTCTTAGTAGTAATTTCTTAATATTTTGCGGGATTGTAAGGAGAATATAAAATTTAAGAGAGTCCATTATGATGCAGCAAACTCTCGAAAAGTGTGTGAAATTGCATCATTTTAAAGCTGCAGGTTGAAGGGTAATAGGACTACTTACCTCCATGTACCTGTTTCTAGATTTGATTCATAGGTCACTGACGTAAGTTCCTTTGTTTTCAGCAGGTCACTCGTGAAGAATGTGTGGGCGCACAGCTGTTATTCTGGGAGCAGATCGTCTTCGCCGGGCCTGTGCATACCTTGATAATCAGGGGAGAGAAAGGCATCCTGAATGGAAAAATGCTGACAAATATAGTCCATCTTACAATAAGAGCCCACAATCTTATAGCCCTGTGCTTCTCTCCCTACAGCACTTTGAGAAGGTGAGCCCCCTAAATTATGTGTTCATCTGGATCATATTTGGTTTTTACATCCATAGATTGTATTTTTGCTAGAGCTGCAGAATCAAATATTCACAAATAAGAGGAACTGTGGTATTTGCTCTGTGGAATTCAGTGGAGCATTAACATTCTTCAGTTAAGGACACCTGTTATATTCTACGGGTCTGTGATCTTCTAGAAAATATTTTTTTTTGTCTAAAGAAGCAATGCTTTGGCAATTTTTAATTTACACTTGGGGCCAAATTTTGACCAGTCAACCTTTGTTTAGAGAATTAAAACCAAAATTACCTTCAGCTGTGATTCTGACAGTGAGGTATAGTCATAACCATTTGAAAAGTTCCTGTTTTTGCTGAGGCAAGAGTGAGTTGTCTGTTGCCCACCAGATGATGATGGGCTTCAATTCCTATCAGCTCCAGTTACAGGGCTAGTGGCTGAATATGATGGGAGTTGTAGTCCATTAATACATGGAGAGCCAACGGTCACTTACTCTGTGCTAAGGGAATGTCTTGTTTCCAAGACTACTGGTCGTCTTCCTACAGCAAAATTTAATGTGAAAGTATGAATGGCAAATCGCCTAAAGGTGTAAGATTCATACAGAGTGATGTTCACTGCAGCATAGATACGCAGCAACTTAAAATAATCTGGAAATAAGTTGAGTCAGATGTAACGCAGTAGATCCAAGTTATCCCCCACTAATGCCCTTGGTTGTTGTAGCTAACAGCTCTGCTGAATCAATCATGACTGAAACATCTGTGTCAATGGCACAGATGGCAGTATGCAGAACTGTGCATGCTGGTGCTAAAATTGTATGTTGTGGTGCGCAAGTATTTTCTTGTTACTTCTGCATAATCCAATACTGAGGATGGAGCTGCCAGTCTGTATGAGAATATGAGAGAAATGTCTGTTGAAAAGAAAGAATACTGACCTTTCCCTTAGGCAGACATTTGTATTAACCTGCAGTGATGCACTGCAGTCTAAATACGGTGATATCTCCCGTATCTCTCCTGAAGTGCTGTAAATGTGATTTTTAAAAAATGTTTCAGCATTGTCCAGGACATAAACAAATACATATCCACACACTGTTGTATTGAAATTTAATAATGTTTTCCATTTTACAGTAAAGCTAACTGCTCAAACATCAGAAGATAAACACCTGCACCTGTGAAGGCTTATAGTGCAAGTGTGAAGATATTCAGTAACTTAAAATAAATGAGTCTTAAATCAGTGCACATGCATATACTTTAAACCTCTACACAGTTACCTTTTCAAGCATAACATTTCCCTACTTTAGCCAAGAGTTTGCATGGGTTCTAGTTGTTGACAAATTTACAAAGGAGAGAAAAAACCAAGTACTGCCACAAATCCTGTCATTTGCCCTATATTGGGATGAATATCAGTTTTTGTAGCAAGCCGAATAGCAAATATGTCTGCCTGCCTTCTCTACCATTTCCCACTCTGGCAGCTATTGTATTGTGCTTTGCCAGAGAAGAATAATAGAATAATAGCTACTTCTGTACGTGGAGGGCAAACTGGAAAAGGGCTGAATGCCTAGCTCTTTGATACTCACCTACCACATTATTCTTGTGCAGTGGATGTTAACATTTGCTATCCTTAATGAACTAATTTCAGTACTTTTGCCATTAAGCAAAACTCATATTGAATCCAAGACTAATGAGCTTGTACCATATTTTATATTTTGCTGTGTATCTACATTGTAATATTGCAGGACAGTAAGACTATTTTTGTATTGTTTTCAGTTCATTGAAAACACTCTAAAAGTTACGTACAGGCTTGCACTGGAAGCTAATTTGGCAAAAAGAAGAAGTGAAACCTCTTGGTCTGTTTCAATTGTTTCAGCTGAGAAAACTGCAGGAAATGATGCATAGAGACAGTGGGAGATACAATTTGAAGTGGGTACATAATGCAATCCTATGCATATTTCTTTGGGGTCTTAGTGGGTAACAATTAACAATACAATGGACTTTCTTCCAGCTGAGTGTGCATAGGATTGCAGCCTTAAGCACACTAGGGAGTCGGCCCACTGAGCTTAGTGAGAACTGCTTCTGAGTAAACATGAATTGGGTTGCACTGTCCAATTTGAAGACTGTTCCAGTATATTTATGAGTGTCTAGCTGAGAGCATAAAGAACAGTGTAAAACGTGTGTGCATTTCGCTGTAGTTAATAGCTACAAATATTCCCTAGGAAGGAAGGCATTGTTGATGGTTTCAGTAGCATAGAGGTACTAGCTGCAGTTCAGCCTCTGTATTAACTAATGTTTTTAATGCTCTATTTATAACCTATTTTCATATTTTATTCTGACTATAATGTCAAAATTCCTTCAGCATTACGCTTGTGATTTGTTGGGGGTTTTTTTCCTATAGCACATGCAAACATAGCTTACATATAGTAGATGTAAGCTTATCCAACATTAGGCTGATGCAGTCTTCAAAAATATATACAGCTTCCTTTAAAAGTAATTAAGTTTGTTGTGTACTTTTAAATATAAAAATGTCCAGGGTGGGGGAAGGGTTCATTATCAGGCATCGATACCTGTGCTGGCTAAAGCCTGTCTGTTATTTCCACAATGACACACAAAGCAGAAATTTAGAATATTCTTTCACCTAGATTCAGCTCGGAGACATCTGTAAACATGTAAAACATTAAAATGTGTATTCCAGCTGAATGGAGAACTGTGCATGTTAAGAATTGTGCATTGTGTGTGAAAGATACACACAATCATCTCTTCCCTTATCCAGTGGCTGTGGCTGCATATGTGGTCTCCTGTATAAAAGGTAGAATTCTGATGATTTGAAATGGGGAATACTAGATTTAGCTGCTGCCCTCACCCTACAGCAGCTGATCAGCAGGATTTTTGCTGTTTAAAAGATCTGCATTTGCAGCTCTTCACACTCTGTTTTGGAACAGAGGCTTTGATTACCTTACAATCTTCTAATGCCTTTCAATATTTCTTTCTGTTCTGCTTTAATGAAAGGATGCCGAGTCCTCTGAGCGTGTCCTTGTGGCTATGCGCTGGGGACTGGTTCCAGCTTGGTTTAAGGAAAGTGACCCATCTAAAATGCAGTATAAAACTTCCAATTGTCGGAGTGATACCTTGATGGAGAAAGTCTCCTATAAGGTTAGTTTTTGTGTGGCTTTCCATTTGGAAAATAAATATTTTTGTATTTGTCTTCTGGCTATGCTTTTCATGCCTGTTGAGCTAGACAGGAAAACTAAAGCGTTTTCATTGCAGTACTTGCAACAGTTGTCCACCTGTACCAAATGTAAATAATTCTGAACTGCATGCTGTGAACTCAGCATCTTGATTTTTCTGAAAGGGAAGAACCCAGCAGGTGCTAGTATTTCACATGCTGTGCCTGACAGAGCTGCTTCGAGATAACCTGCTGCTTGGGTTTTGTGCAGGTTAGATGAGAGAAAACACCAATAAGACCGACTGTCTGGAAGGCTGTTAGAAATAGAGCAGTACAAGCAGAATTCTATTAAAAGCTCACTTAAAGGTATATACATATTTTTTCTACCATCAGCTTGTCTACCCTTTGCACTCCCATATGCCTGTGTTGAGGGCCTTGATTAGCAAAGAAGCAGTCACCAAGAAGGGGCATATGCTCAACTGAGGATGCAGGAATCACTTGGAAAAGCTAATCAGTTCTCCTTGTCTCTCTGAGCCATTTTTCTACCAAGAGCATCCATGCTTCTAACAGAATGGAAAAACACTTTTAAGTGTATTCTGTGATGATATAGCAGGTTAGCCAATGTTGTTGGGGATTACTTAGTGCTTACCTAGTACCCTACTTGTTCTGACTCTGGAGCTTTCTCTAGGTTTCCCTAGATTCCTCTTTCCTGGGGAATTGCTATTTCTTGTATATGTCAAAACCATAGAATTGGCATTCTAAAAGGTAACTTTGGCTGCACTGGAAGCAGGTACAGCAGTAGAACTTTTCCCTGTCACTATCATTTTTAACAAGATCAGTTAATCAGTAGCATATAAGAGATGAGGAACCAAATGAGGAACAGTCATTTCAGCAAAGAGATTATTTCACTGCTTTGAATTATGGTGAATTCATAAGTCAGTGATGATCGAGGAATCCATATCTCAGAGGTGCTGAGCCTTTTTCAGTTTAAGGGTTAAGTTCCAATCTGGGAAGATTAAGAGGAAGGAGGAAGAGAATGATATAAACCGCTTTGAGTTCATAAGAAAAAAGTGGGATATAAAACTAATAAATGCAAATATAAAAATGGTCTTATGGGGGCATGTGCTAAAGATAAAGAGACTGGGAGCAAAATGTGATTCTTACTGAGAACAAGCTTCTGCATCTGTACTCAGAAGCAGGCAGGAATTAAACCTCCAGCAAAACTTTGAAATAGCATTCCAAATACCAAGGGTCTGCATGTCTGCTCAGAAGCAGGGTAAACTTTTCATATTCCTAACAAACTTCTAAATAATCAAGGCAGAACTTGGCAGAGTAGCACTCTGAAATAACCAGAACACAACTACTGAGCTTTCTCCACAAGGAGAAGAAAATGGGGGACCAAGAGGAAGAAGTCATTAACTCCGCTTCATGTGAACTCTCAATTTTTTGAGGATCATTTCATAGAATCCAATATGAACTGCTATTAAAGTCCTCCCACACCAAATGTATGGTTTTAAATGTATTTTATGTTACTACTTGCATAGACTGATATGTCCCTGTTGCTTTCTCTCTCTCTTTCCCTGCCCTCAAAGAAGCCCCTTGAAAAAGGCAAGCGCTGTGTGGTACTGGCTGATGGCTACTATGAATGGCAACAACATAATGGACAGAAACAACCTTATTTCATTTACTTCCCCCAGAATGAGAAAAAATTGGTATAACAGTAGTGCATTTATATTATGATTTAGACTTCTTTACTCTTATTTTCTTATTTGCATCTTCCAACTAAGTTTGGGGTCTATGATTCTGGTCTGTGTGATTAAAGCAATGTTGAAAACATTGGCTTTGGTTTTTTGCACAAGGTCTTTCCACCTTATTCATAAATACTGCTTGGTATTGTGAGTAGTAACTATAAGTTCTTACTAAGTCAAGTGCAGGTAGCTTTTTTGGTCCTTCAGCACTTGTGTGGCACCTGCTGTTGCTTTAGTAAAGAAGGGTAAAGAAACTCGGTTACTATTAGCAGGAATTCAGTTGCTAATAATATGCATGTCAAACTTATCTGAATGAAGTAGACAGCACTGTGCTTCCACTTTCCCACTTTCAGGCCTTATTAGCTGCTATTGCAGTGTGAGAGAAGTTTTGTGAGGCCTGGGTCATGACACTACTTGTGGCACAGCTATAGAAATGGCTTGGATAAAGGATTTTGGAATGCAGGGTAGGAAGATGCTCCTAAACCTGCAATCTTTCATTCAACCTGCTGAAGCACTCCTCCCCCGCCAATCTGAGATGGTACAAATAGATATGCATCAAAGAAACAAAGTTATCTGGGATCACTCTTCCCCATAAGGAAAAGCCAGCCTTTAGGTACCTATTGCTGAAAGTAATGTGACTCCTTTTTCTTTTGATCATACTACGCATTCAGCAGAGTAAGGTGACAGAAGCGTTATTCTTTTATAGATCTAAATGATACTTTGATATTTAAACGAATCTTATATGTAGTTCAATTCAAAATTTCCAGGGCTGTTTACAATAATAAATAAAATGCAAAGAAAGCATTAAAACAATGATAGCAGAGTTTAAAAGCCTGACAACTAACCAGGCTTGCCTGGCATCTAAGACCTTATCATAGGCACCAAGCCAAGCTCCCTAGGCAGAGGATCCAACAAGGGAGGTGCCAAAACCAAAATGACCTGTCTCCTCTCGCCACCCGTCTTGCTTCATTTGGCAGAGGGAATCAAAGGAAGGCCTTTAAGGATGGATGGTCCTCCTGAGAGAAGATTTCCCTCACATATCTAGGTCCCAAGCCATAAAACCACTTTGTGCTTAGAATATACCAGTGGAGCCGTATCCCTAATGCCAAGTCTAACAGCTGTATTTTGAAATAATGGCTAGGGCTTACATGACTTGTAGGCCAAAGCCATCTGGAGGGCCACAAAGAGTTCATTCCTGCTGTATTGTCAAAGCTTGTCAGATCATTGTAGTGTCAGAACATTCCCCAGACTGCTAACATGATGAAGTCATGTCAGAGATACCTAGAATGCGAATGATGGAAGTCTCAAGTCAAAGGCTTGTTACTGAGCCTATTCTGTGGTAGTGATAGTAGTGAAAATGAAATGCACATTTGCATCTTTGGGGTCCCATCAGCAGATACTTTCTTAGTGGTTCAGGCATACTTCAGTTTGGCCCACTTGCATGATGCTCTGTAACATGCATACTATGTACTTTGAGAATAAAGTTGCTCCTCAGCGTGAATACCCGTTTCAGCAGTTCGGTGCATGTATGTTTCCAAAGAGCAATGGTTTATAGGATGTATCTCAGTTATTAAGGCCTAGAGGTAGTGATGGGCTGGATAAGGGCAAACATGCTGAAGCTCAGTCCCAGTGACATGGAAGTACTGCTGGTGGGTGGTTCATCTGTCCAGAGAGGTGAAGTTCATTCTTTTCTCAGGGGGATTGCATTCCTGCTAAATGTCATTATTGATAATGCAGTCCTTTTATTTTGCAGTTCAACAAACCAGCTGCGGAGGAAGAGGAAGAACATTCAAAGGGCAGGAGGCTACTTACCATGGCTGGTATTTTTGATTGCTGGGAGCCCCTTGATGGAGGAGAAGCATTATACAGCTACACTATCATCACAGTATATGCTTCTAAAGTTGTAAGCTTCATCCATCAAAGGCAAGGAAGTTAAACTGAATATGCATTTGTTGTGCAGCATATTATAATATGGAAGTAGAAGAGGATAATACTTCATAAGTCACAGTACCCATCACCTGATTTCTTGCTCTGTGTACCAATTAGTGTAACTTTATGTATTACTTCAAAGTAAAGTCAGAACATGGAGGTCAAAAGCTCTTCCTGCTTCTTTAAAATTTGCCCTCTTTAACGATCAGCATCTGAACAGTAAAAACTTGCATTGGGTGGCAAGTTTTCTGGGCTTTATGTAAATCCTTCAGTGAATGGTATCTCACTCCAGTCCTTTGAGAAATCGAGCCACTTTTGAATGAATATCCTGCATTTTCATGCTAGATTCTCCTCCCTGATCATCATCTTGATTTTTGGAATTTGGGTCTTATTGAAGTTTTTCAATAATTCCATATTGTGGACTAATTTGTCTGTTACTTTCATCAGTGAGATTATTTTAAGCTTTTTATTTGTTCAGGATGCCAGCTATCCTGGATGGGGATGAAGCTGTTAGAAAATGGCTAGACTTTGGAGAAGTCCCTACACAAGAAGCACTTAAGCTTATCCACTCCTCAGAAAACCTTGCCTTTCATCCAGTATCAACTATAGTGAACAATTCCCGAAACAATACACCAGAATGTATTGTACCCATTCAACTGGACCTTAAAAAGGTACAATTTGGTAACATCTTTCTGAAAATTTTACTGTACAATTTAAGTGAAGTTGCATTTATGTCCATGTTACAAAATAAAGGGGAAATGAACCCAAATCACACAGAGATTGTATCTGTTCTGTGGCATTATTTATAGTGTCCAGGTTGGTTACCTGCTATCAAGATTGGTTGTGTGCATCAAACCTTCTAAGATTATTTGAAGAGATTCTGAAAAGGTTAAGAAGGGATTAAATATAGAGAGATTTATTTTTAACATTCACCCTTTAACAAAGGAATCAAACCAGTTGAATTCTTTTACTTCTTTGGAGGATAAAAATGTTAATTTTTTACTCACAGCAAGACGTATTTTACTTTGACTAAATTATTGTATGATACTGCAGGTACTAATCCATAGATCCTCGTGGAACTGTGATTTGTAATAGTGATTTCTGCTCCACCCCATTGTTTTATGTCTTCCAGGATGCCAAAGCTAGTGCAAGCAGCAAAATGATGTTGAACTGGCTGAAAAACGAATCTCCCAAGAAGGAGTACGATGATGATGGTTTACCAAGATGGTCCAGCCAGTTCATCAAAGCAGAAACACCTAAGAAAACCAGTACAAGCTTAATGTACCAGTGGCTTAAGCAGGAAGATGGGGAACCTTCTGCAAAGCAACCCAGAAATCAGTGACTTCTTGGACTTCTCATCTTATTTGCAAACATGCCCAGTGAATTTGTCTTTAGACACATGCATGTTTAACTGGAGCTTTCACTAATTTGTAAATTAGTAAAATTTGTGGTATGGAATTTCAAGTGTTCTGACAGTACACTGATGCCAAGCAGATAGGCCTTGACAACATTTCTATGTTGTTGCTAGTACAAACTGAAATATGGATTCTGTATGCAGCACTGACTTTTCCTTGCCAACCCAGAGACTACATCCGCTCCAAATACATAAGATATGGAAGACTTAAACATCAATATATTTTTCCTAGGAGAGAAAAAAGGATTCTTTTTTGTGTATTTCTTGCCCCAGTGTTCATTCAGTTTACTTTTTGGATTGATTCCACTAACTGTGGAGGAAACAGATCACTGTTAATGACCAAGAACTGCTACTATGAAATTAAAGTTTTGTTTGTTACCCAAGACCTGGATGTCTCTTTCAAGGACTTTCTAAGTATTAGCTATATTGGTGGGGAAGCTGCTTCAGTGGAGTTCTATATGCATCTGTTAGCTATCCAAACTTGTGGTGAGAAGATGAGTGTTAAAACTTCAGTATGTTAGTGTTTGTGGAAAAGGTGGACATTCTGGTCTGCTTTGCAAACACCAGCCTTATTAATAGTGGTAACTATAAGTTCTGCACATGGCTAAAATAGTCCTCATTTTAAATGAGAAATTGGATATTTTGATAATGAGAAATGAAATCTTTCTTTTGGGTTGTTCATTTGTAACTAGTATTAGTCTTTCTGTATCTGGTGAGAACTAAACTATATCACAAGTCTACTTTTGAAGGTTTTTTGTCAAATGAAAATCTCAAAGAGAATGACAGATGTTAAGAATTCTTGAAAGAAGACCATTCTTTTCAACAGGATAAAAATATTCTGGGACTCTACTTTGTTGAAGAATACTGTCCTACTAAAAAGTGATCTATCAGAATTGATAAAGCAAATGTATTGTTTTTAGTTTTTTAATAAAGCTTTAACAAAGGAGACTGTTCAAGCTATGACTTTGGCAAGAGGCAGACTCTTTCAAGAGCATTAATTACTCACCTTTAAAATAATGATTGTTTTTAAAAGCCTATTAATGTTTTGCATATTGCTGAATTCCAACTAATCAATAACAGTGTTTCTTCTTGTGAGAAGAACTTTGTGAGAACTTTGACTACATATACCCTGGATATTTAAGGATTTAATAGTAAAAGGCCAGGAGTGTTTGCAGTCGTGCATTGGTTCAGTATTCTAGACATTTTAAACAGTAGATCTCATTGTTCCTCAAAGCAATCTGGGGAAATCCCAATCAAAATCACAGCACAGTATCTGAAGCACAACAAAATCACTGTTAGTGCTGGTCCCAATTTTGCCTGTACCATCTTACCAGAAAGGATGCTCTTTTCCCCTTCTCCATTGACCATAGAATTGGTCACTCAGAACTCTAAACAGGAATCAGTATTGTTGCCTCTTCCCCGAGTGGGCAACTGTGATTCTGTGCATGCCTATAAAGTCAGAGTGGGCACCATCTTCTTGCTCTTCAGCGGTTCTGAGGCCTTTGCTGCCTTTTCTTTGTTTTATTTTCCTGTACCATTTCATCTTTTTATTTCCCTTATATTTTAATTGTGTGGGCAATATGCTTCACATTTTTCTTTTTTGCTAAAAAAAATAAAATGAAATCCCTTGGGCTATCCTCTACACCTGAAATGCAGTTGACAGTATTTAAGAAGTGACAGCAGCAGCTGTGGAGGCAATGAGCCCCAGGGAAAAGGCTTCCACACACACAGGGAAGAATGCCATCAGCTGGTTGATTAACAGCACAGGTGATTTCAGAATTTCTCTTCCCTGAATGAATGTTTAAACTTGGGTCACATATGAAAAGCTTTTTAAAAATCACTGTTCTCATTAATCTAGCAAGAAAAGCATCCTGTAAGTTCACAGCCCTGATGGGTGAGAGCAAATCCTTGTTGAGTCCCCTTAGTTCCACATAGTGGCCAGCCAGAAAAGCTCACAGGCAAGACCTAATAGCCCTCTCCCACTTTCTTCCCAAGCAACAACCATTCAGGGCCAAGTCTATTTTATTTACTTAAAATTTCTTATATACTATCTGATGGTTATAAAATTTCAAGATGGTTTACATAAAAGCCAAAAATATAAATATATATTAAAATCATATTACAGCCATAAATAGTTAAAAATAGTTGCCTCTGATCTTTGAGGTAACATAGAGCTGTCATGATGTGTGACCATTGATAGCTTTTACTTCTATGCATTTGTCTAATTGCCTTTTAAAGCCACCTTAAGTTGTGAATAACATCCTGGAGCAAGTAACTTTGTGCTGTGTGATGTACATTTTTTATCAGTCTCTCACTGTTCAGCTCTAGCTCTACAAGTGTTCTAAAATAAGAACTATACACAGTATTCCAAGTGTGATCACAATTTAGGCTGTGCAAAAGATATTACTGTATTTTCAGGTTTCTTTAATCCCTTTCCTAACAATCCTTCACATGGAATTTGTAACTGCTGAATAACAGATCAATATTTTCATTGAGCTATCTGCCACAATTCTGATATATTGATTGATTTTGATTAATACCACACCTTTCCACCACACTGCACTTCAGGTGGTTTACAATAATAAAACTTAATTTAAAGTACAATACAACAGATAGGTTACAACACGACAGTAACAATGTTTTTCCTGATCAGTCACCTGGCAGCTCAACCCCCATCAATGGATACGTGAGATTGTCATACTTCGACAGAACTGCATTGGCCATTTTATTTCCCATTGCTTTCCACCCTGTTTTAGAACAGAGATCTCTGGGTTCTGGGATTGTTTGCAACTGCAAGCTAAGCTTTCTACATTGGTAGGAAATTGGTCAGTCCTATGCTGGATAATTTATTTTTCTAGACTGAATAGCTGTACTCGGGGAGAATGTCACATATTAACCATTACACACACAGACTTTTCTGAAGTATTCTAGCTTATTGTGATCTAGTTATACACTTATTTATTTAAAACATTTTTATGCCGCCCAATTGTACCACAGCACCTCTGGGTGGCTCACAGTCATATGATAAAATAGAATAAACTAATTACAATACATTAAAATACAATGTTAATAAAATACGGATAAAAATACAAAACAGAAGGTTGAGTGGCATTAACTATTAAAATATTTTTTAAAGGGAAGTTCTCTGCCTAGCGCCAAAAAGAGTGTAAGGAAGGCGCCAGGCAAATCTCCTTAGGGAGAGCATTCCAAATATGAGGAGCAACTGCAGAAAAGGCTTCCTAGCAGCCTTCCCTCTCACCTTCCTATGGGATGGCTCACACAGGAAGGCCCCCTGCATAGATTTCAAAGGCCGGGTAAAGACATATGGGTGCAGGTGCTCCTTAAGGTAACCAGGGCCTAAGCTTATGCACACAACCCATTACTTCTGCTTAGCTCTTGGTGCTGACACAAGTGGCTAAACCAGAAAATTAAAGCTTACCATGATGGCTGAACACGGGGTCTGTTTGTTGCATCCTTTGCAAGCCAATAAGAACAATCTTAGATTTACAATCCTGGCTGGCTAAACCATGCAGCCAACCAAGCTTCTGGCCTTGGATATCATGGAAAGCTTTTGTATTCCGAATAGTTTAGTCAAGCGAGAGCAAACAAAATTGGACAGGAACATACAACTTGTTCTTGATGAGCCAGAAGGGCTTGGTGGATTTCACTTTACCCACCAAGGTAGGAGAAGGAAGTCTTATTTGCAATAGATTCAATCTTCATTGTGTGTGTGTGTGTGTGTGTGTGTGTGTGCATGCGCGCGTGCACAGGGGGTTTGTGTGTGGTATGACAAAGGCATTCTTGCTAGCAGAGTGTCTGCCCCTAGCAGTTTTCAGAAACACTAAAAACATCTGTATCGTTTTTATTTTTACTGGTTAATGATTTTTCCCTTCCTTCCTGGGCTGTGTATAAGTTGGATGCAATGATTGTTCTGCCAGTGTAGCAGCAGTGTATCAGGCCCAGAGTAATGCAGATATAGGATTGCTGTACCTGTGGCAGTTTGTAGAAAACCCATCCCTCTTGCAAACTTTAATAGTGTCCAGCCTTCAACTAAGTCACTCAAAAGATTTAGAGAGTCTTTGTTTTTTGGTAAGTAAGACTGTTCAGGGAGCTTGTAAACCATTTTTGGAAGCAAGTCTGTCCTCTAGTTCTGAATTGCACCAGCAAGGGCTTCTCCCCGTTGTGGGAATACTGTAGATCTGACTAGTGGGCTGTGTGGAAAATATGGCTTCATCAATCCCAAGTTCCATCTGATGCTCAGTCCATTTTTCCATCTGTGAATCTACCTCCTCATACTGATCTTTTACTGTCTTCTACAACAGTCCTAGAACTTGGCAGCAGTAGCCAAAGACCCTCATCTGGAGAATATATTTCTTCTGACTACCTTTGTGTCAGCTGGCTCCTTCCAACTTCAGGTAGCTTTGTTTGTTTATTTTAAGAGGTTAGCTTTATAAATTAACTGACTTGGTAAGAGAAGGCAGAAAACAATCTTTTTAAAAAAACACTTGCAGCTGTCTTCTCTTTCACTCTTCTATTCCACACCAGTGGGAAGAAGGCCAGCTCCCTTTGTTTTGTCCTCCAGAGGTTAAGAGAATAAATAGATTGGGTTGTGAAAGAGAGCTACTGTGGGGAAGGAGAAAAATCTGAAGTGATTTTTTTTTTTACAAAGAGGGGAAGACTGTATCACCTGTCCTGTTTAAATCTGTATTTGAAAATACATGCTTACTGTGATGTCTAGAAATCTCTGATTCCTTCTAGAGATTTACCTCCCAATCCTAGTCCCATTTATTTTGCAGGTTTAATGTTCTGAAATACATTTCAGGAACTCCCATTGAATCTAGAATAGAAGATATTCTTCTCTAACTTCCTGTAGATCTTGTAAAATCTGGAAATCACTAGAAGAGGTTTTCAGCATGTTCCACACTTCCCAAGAGAATGATTATGGACAATATGAATGATCACTAAACACTTTGGTCACTTGCACCAAGCTTTTACAAGGCAATGTAAAATGCATTCAGAAACTCTGACCTGGTTCAGATGATATGACAGACCAAAATGGGTTAATTAACCTTAAGATGCCATGGTGCACAGACTCATAGAATAGTAGGAAGGGGCCAAGAAGGCCCCTGGGTCCAATCCTCTGTTGTTGCAGGTCACCAATTTACACCGTCCCACTTGGATGGCTGTCCAGTTTGTTTCTGGATGTCTCTAGTGTGGGAGAGCCCATGACTGCTCTAAGCAACTCTCTAGGCATGTAGTGTACCATTATGAATGTGCAAACACTGCCTGGCATTGCTGTGGCTTGTCGTGTCATCCAGGCCTAGGCAATGAGAGTTATTTGAAGGTTAACCCATGCATAGGCCATGGTTGATTGATTGATATACTGCCTTTTCTCCTGCAAGCAACCTAAGGCATCTTACATAACACGTCTCCGCTCCCTTCTCCTCTCATGTTAGGCTGAGAGGCAGTGACTGGCCTTAAGGTCACCCAGTGAACTTCATGGCCAACTGGCAACTAGAAATCCCCCGAGTCTCAGCCCAACATCTGTGCATTTTCTTGTTTCCAGGGTGCCCAAGCCCCAGATCGTTTCAGTACCTGACACCGCTCTTGCTCAACACCTGTTGCCCTTTGGCTGGTCATGTGAAGGAGCCCTGGCCATTGACCCGAAGCCCTCAGGCAAACCAAAGCCTCTTATCCTTCCATCTGCACGTGGAGGATGATCTTACTGTAATGAGATGTTCTACAGAGAATGTAAGCAATGTGCTTCCTGCACTTTAAGCACTATAGTAATATTTTTGGTAATGGTCTTATCTTTACCATTGGTTGGCTGTTCTCTCAGTTGTGTCAATGAAAAAGCCAGTTTCGCCAATATTGAACTGTTCCTTTTGTGTATCCAGGTGCTAAGGTCCCACTAATAAGACTTGCAGAAAGAGGGGAAGGAAAGCAACCCATAGCAGCAAGGAGCTATAAATAAATAAGAAGCGTCCTCTGAAAGGACACACAGATAAATAGGAGAAGAAGGTGTCATCCTGTTGGGCTCCTTTTAAGGACCTGCTTTAAGTTCCTTTCTGAAAACGCACATTTCCTTATGTTCGCCTTCATGGCTGCTCCTAGGGCAGCCGTATTGATCTCAAGCGTGTGTTTGCACCTGCCAGTTAGTCACCAGCTGCGATGCGGAAGACAAAGTAAATCCAGGAAATTGAACTTGGAAGGAGAAACACACTCAGCTTGGCTGCTGCTTTCTTGTCCTACGTCCAAACAGAGGCTGGCTGTTCCAAGTGGCGCCACGTTAGCAGAAGCAAGGAAAGAAAGCTCCTCGCTGCATCCCTTTGTCACACAGTGCCAAAGACCCCTGCGTCTCCCAAAGCCGCTGCTACTGCACATTAATATGCTTTACCAGCAGCTCTCTTTGCAGGCGGCCAAGCCTGCGCGCCTGCTACCGCTTCAGCTCCATCCCGCGTCCGAACATGGACGACGCGAGCTGCTATGCAAATCAGGGATCGGAATACTCGCCAATGAGAGCGCCGCTCTGCTCCCATCGCCGCCAATGGGAGGCCGCCGCCAGGCTGGGCTTGGATTTATATCCTTCAGCGTCTCGCGCTTGTTGTCATTGCAGCTGCGGCTCTTCGGGCAGGTCGATCGCTGGCGAAGGCGCTCGGGGTGAGGGAATCCCGGGGAGACGGCGCTCGCCGGAGACGCGCGAAGCGGCAGCGCGGCCGACCTCGCTACGCCCCGTGCTCGGGTTGCTCGCCAGGCCGGGCTGCGGGGGGAGCTGCTCTGCCACGCGCGTCTAAATAGCCGCCTAGCCGGCGCCCCGTCCCGACGTTTCCCCCCCTCCCGCCCCGTGGCGCTGTGCTAACGCTGGTGTCGTTTTCTTCCCCGTTATCCAGGCGAGGCCGCCGCTTGCCGTCTGCCCGCTTAGCAAACGAGCGCCGGCGTCGCCTCCTGGCCCGCGCGCCCTCCCGTGATGTCCGGCCGAGGGAAATCCGGCGGCAAAGCCCGAGCCAAAGCCAAGTCCCGCTCCTCCAGGGCAGGCCTGCAGTTCCCCGTGGGCCGCGTGCACCGGCTGCTGCGGAAGGGTAACTACGCCGAGCGGGTGGGCGCCGGGGCGCCCGTGTATTTAGCGGCCGTGCTCGAGTACCTCTCGGCTGAAATCCTGGAGCTGGCTGGCAACGCCGCGCGGGACAACAAGAAGACGCGGATCATCCCCCGGCACCTGCAGCTGGCCATCCGCAACGACGAGGAGCTCAACAAGCTGCTGGGCGGCGTGACCATCGCCCAGGGCGGGGTCCTGCCCAATATCCAGGCCGTGCTGCTGCCCAAGAAGACCCAGAGCTCCAAGAAATGAGCTGGCGGCACAAGGCCCCAAGGCAGGCGGTCGACGGAGCGCCCCCTGCGCCCCGCCCGCTGGCTCCGGTGCAGCAGGCCCCGGACACTTCCTCCCTTCCCCCGCTTTGCTCGGGCAGCCGGCACCGGGCAGATCCCCTCCGCATTTTCTGCCGCGGTGCAGCCAGCGCGGGCCTCCCGGCTCACCGTCTCCCGCGCCGCCCCTCCCTGGCCTGGCGCTCCGGCCGCCCGGCTCCTCTCCCCCGCCCCCCCGGCACCTTCTCCGAGGGATGTGCCCCTCGCACCTCCGAGCACCCCTGCCTTTTGTCAGTCCCTGGGATTGGGGCGGGCAGAGCCGTCGTAATCATTTTCCATGTCACAAAAAGGGCATGTGCTTTGGGCCTGGCTGCCACCTAGTGCCCTGCAAATTGATTTTTTCCCTCTGTCTTCACTCTCTCCCTCCCGGTCCTCTTTCCTGGATCTTTAACCTCAGATTTACTGCCTTGAAGCTGCTTAATCTACAACATTTGTGCAATTTGATTTTTTTCTTTATTTCCTGGCTTTCCAAATCCCTTGTAATTTTGCTGGGGGAGATGAGTGGAAAAGAAGGAACAGATTTTTTGGAACTAGACGAATGATTTGTGCATTTTATTTCATGTTATTTTTGGATGAACTGAAGAAGAAACGGAACTAACTGGAAGAGAGAAAGTCACAAAGCACAGGGACAGCTTCCAGCTGACTCTAGAAGGCAAGGGCCTCAATGTGGGCAGTGTACCATTTGCCACAATGGTGCCCCTTTAAAATACCCTGTCTGTGCATCTAAAGGGTGAGGATGGGCACTCTGAAGAAGAAGAGTTAGCCTCTCCATTGCTTCGTTATTTTGCACAAATATTCAATTTAATCTCTTAAAACTGCTCTGTCCCAGAGCTCAAGATGGTGATGGATCTATCTACCTGATGTTGCTGCACATCCCCATTCAATGTGATCATAAACTTAAGGGTGGGAGGGGGGGAGTTCTCAATGTGAAAAGAATGATATTTCTCTTCCTGAGAAAGTAGTAGCTTCATATGCTGAGCTTTTCCCCTGCCCCTTGGTTCCTTTATGATTCTGATGTGGTGTTGTGTCTTTGTGTTTGTCCTCCATTCCTAGTCATGTACTCTTGTTAAGTTTTGAAGTTCTGTTGTTTCAAATTTACTTTTCAGTTAGTTTATATTGTTAAAGTCTTTGGGCTGAAGGCAAGGAGTTGTTCACCATGATTTCTAGGGTGTATTTGTCCCAGACAGGACTTGGAAGATGACTGTGTGCGTGCGTGCATGCATGTACACGCATGCACACATGAGAATGTCTAGAAGCAAAAATAGGGTGAGTGTGTGTGTGCCATAAGCAGTAATCTCTCTCACAACCCAACCTGGGGAGTGGGAGGGAGGGAGTCTATTCTCTGTCTCTAGCCTTGATGTGGTGCATTCAGGTCTTCTGAATGTGCTTAGGAGCTTAGCTGGAAACTCATTTTAAGCAAGAGTCCTTTGATATAGGTCTATTTTTGTCCTTTTGACGTCAGTGGAGCTAAAATGGCTTAAAGCATAATAGTGTTTGTGGTTTTCAGTCTAAATAATAGTAGACCAGAGGTGCTTGCTATTTCCTTGAAACAGTAGTCATTGTGTTGTCCATTTCCACACATACCCCGTTTAGTTCTGTTGTGAAGCCTTCCATCATGCCTGCAGTTTAGCATTTGCATCCTAGTTTGCACTTTAAACTATACACAGTGTTCTTTGCTCAGAATTTCACTTTTAGTACTTAGCGTTTAAGTGTGGCATCTCTAACTGAAATCCTCAGTGTTTGGGAATTGAGTATTTGAGGTTTTAGTTTAGGAACAAAATCAAATTTATACAAGAGTAAGATAACTAGTTTGTGGTGGTTTGCTAAATAGGTGTTGGGTAATGTATGAGCATGAGAGTTGGCCTAGCCAGTCCTGTGATGCATAGTTGCTGTGGTCTTTTAGAAATGGTATTGGAGCCAAATCATGCTTGCGTAGGTTTAAAAAGAAGTTGTTAGAACCATGTGCATGCAGCAATGTCTAGGCTACTGAACAAGTAGAGCTTCTAATAATATTTATGGTCAGCTGTGTATGTGCTGTTAAGTAGCATGTGTTCAACCCATCAAGTGAACTGTGAATCTAAGTATTGTCTTGCTCTGGTTCAACCAATAATACCTAGACTTGTGGACATTGGATGCTTTAATAACTGGATAATGAAAGAGGTTCAGTCTCATGCTGGTGAGCATACTGTCTCAGTGGTGATACCCGAGAAGTAAAACTTTATCTGCCCTCCTCTGATTGTCTTGCTTGTCTCCTACTGCAGGCCCAGAAAAAAGGACCTCTTGTTTCTAAATAGCTATCTCATTCCTCTGGCACTGGACCAGTGCAGGGCTCTTGCTTTCTGTCAGAATGAACACTGATTGCATCATTGAGAGGAAGGGATTCTTTAAATGCAAATAACTACCATAGAGTAGGAAGTTAGCATTTCTCAATGTGTATTCTGTCTTTCAAAAATTATTTTCAAGAACGGTATTTTGTGTTCTGTTGAACATTGCTTTGTAATTATTAGAAAATGCAGAACTTGTGATACTGGAAAAGTGCAAGACCAATATTCTTATTAAACTGATTCAGTCTTGAATGCTCACCACTGCTGTTTCTCATTGGCATAGCATGGCTTGCTTATGGGGTTCTGGAACTGGGGAAAGATAAATGTTTGTGTCCTACTGTACTAGAAACTTCTTTAAGAGAGAGGGAAGGTAGAAGCCAGTGGCATATTTCAGTAACTATCAGTAACCTCCAACATAAGCCATTTATCTTAGGCTCAGAAGGCCTCTTTCAGCCTGGCAGGGCAGCTATAAGGATGAAGATGAACACTGGTACTACAGTAAAATGTTGTCAGTGTTCTGAAGCAGATTTTGGCCAGAGTGTCATTTCTGGAAAGGTCTCCTTACACAAGCAAATGATTCCTGCCTTCCCAGCCCTCCCTTTTCCCCTTCCTGCCCCCGCCCCACTTGATGAATATCCCATACACTGGGCCATTGGTGGCATCAATGGAGTAGGAAAGTGGCTGCCCTTGCTGTTCTCTTTTACACTGGAGTCCCATCCAGGGTTTGGTGGGGATAGACTTCAGGGGTGATAATGGCTTGCTTCCAGGAAGCGCACTTGGGTTGGACTGTAAGACTGTGAAGTCCTATAAGAGCTAGAAACCGTATTCCAAGTAAATACGGGCTGTACTCCAGTCTGCAGTGCAGGACAATCAAAGCTGTTCGCTGGCTTTCAAAGAAGACCATGTCACAATAGAGCCTTTAAGGTTGATGCTATGTAGCCTCGGGATATGTATATAAATGCATACTGAGGAGGGAGGGAGCTGATGATATTGTATAGTCAAACTTACTATGAGAGAGGTTATTTTAATATCAAGAATAGGATCCTAATAATCAGAATGAAGAGCTCATGGGTTCCACACATCATCTGAAAGGTTATTTTGCTGACTGAGGAAAGCAAGGCATGTGCAGCTGCTGTTTCTCCTTCCCCTCCCACTTGCAAAAAAAAAAAAGGCAACTTTCTCCTAAAAAGTCTGGTGATGAATTTTTGTTTAAACAAATGGTTTCTGGAGTTGATGCCAGCGATTTAGAACTGTAAGCAGGGGGAATGGGGATGCAGAATGTGGACGTGAGGGCAGTGTGGCTGCCCTTTTCTTTGTGCTGCTTTCACTGCGAGATTGCTTATTCCTTTGTGGGAGTTAAGCATGTTGTGCCACTCACCAGGTTGGGGCCAGTGCGCTGCCTCCCGAACCACTGAATCCAGACAAGAGCCCCTTTTGAACTCATCCCAAGCAGACACGGAATCGAACTGTGGGATTAGCAAATGTATTGCTAAAGGATCCCGGCCTTTATAGCACAAAGGTGGGCTGTGTTGGAAGGCTTCACCTGGTGAGTAGGCAAGGGCTGCATTTTGTTTCATTTTATAGTGTGTGGGCACAGGTGCTAAACTGAGCGAGTGATCTCAGGCCTCATGACTTAAGTTGGTATGTTCATTCAGTGCCCTTACTGCTTTTTGATTTTGCCTTCTGCCAGTGGTAGAGCTGGTATGCGAGGATGTGAAATCTTAAATTGTCAGGACTAAAATGTGGCTCCTGCTTTTCCAGAGAAGATATCCTAAACAGAAAGAATACAAGCTACTGTCATAACTGGGGG